AAAAGGGGAATATACTCCCCTCTGTATTCAGGTCGTTTATGCGTAACATGAAAAGCAGTTACTTTCGCACTGATTCCTGAGGGATATCACTTGTCACTACCTGCCATTCAGATACAATTCCTTTTTATGCCAACTCTCTGCCTCTGAACCAATTTCCCATCTATGCCCCAAAATTGCCTCCAATTTCATGCACCTTCATTTGAGCTGGTAATTGTCTATCTGGAACTTCATCAAATGCCTTATAGAAAATCTATATAAATTGCATCCATTGATCCTCCTTTACTATTTCGATAGCTCTAATGAAGAACTCTAGATTAGCAGGTCAGAATCTTCAACCCATAGTGCCTACTCATACTGCCGCCGATTATCAGTGCAGAAACATTACTATATTGTATAATACATTTCATATGCACAACACAATTGTATAGCACCTTTCACATTAGGAGAGTGGCCCAAAGCGCTCAACGCTGCTGGCTGAATACCTTAGCTGAGGGGCTTGAGCTGAAGGGGATAGAGAGAGAAAAGGTGACAAAGGACACTCAAATAAATACTTTTTGAGATGGGCTTTCACTGAGGGAGTCAGAGGAACTTTGGGATTGAGTTCTGGAGATTGGGGCAGAATATAAAACATAGTACATATTCGGAAATAAAAAAATTCAAGAAATGCACAGCATGCCAATCGGCATTTGTGGAAAAAGATAAATTAGTTTGTACTTATTTTGTAACATTGAAAACAAACAATCATGTCAGAAAATTCTAAAACTCGGAAAATTATAAATTCCCTAAATAAGTTTGAACTAAGGTCTATTTTTTTCAATACAGTAATTTTACTATAGAAGTCACTTTAAAGATTCTAACTTGATGACAGTTGAGAGCTGAACTGTAAGGTGATGAGTAGAATGTGTTCAGTTTTGTTTCTTGCTTTTTACCCATTTCATTTGAAATGTTCTAGACATCAGTAGATTGGTCAAGCTCTCTGTGGACTGTAATACAAATCAAGCTCCTGAAACAAATTCTGAAGGTTTGATTTTGCATATGTCCGAAAATCTGGGAGAGGATTGTGCTGAATAAACAGGCACTTGGTCAGATATTCATTGAAATTAGATTTGGAGAGTTTACTTTAAATAGACTACAATTCTGCCATATTTCACAATATCATATTCGCATTCAACGAATTCCAAATACCAACCCTGTTTAAGGTCAAATAAAGCTAGTTTAATGCTTATCCTTGCCTTCACAAACCTATACTCAAAATTAATCCTAATAAATCATCACTTGGACACAATAATAAATGTGGTCACAATGCAAGTGCTGCAAGTTGCTGCAAGAATCACTGGTCCCATTTATGACAAAAATCAGTGAAGGCTGGTTGTTATAGCAATAAGTAGCTGCCTGCTTTACACACTGAAACATAGTGCACGCGTAACCTTAAAAAAACAGTGTGGTTAACTGTTCAATCACCACCAGGTTGCTTGCTTAGAAAACTATTTAAATTGCTTTGGATAAGTGTGAACTGTTATCGAGGCCGGATCTCATTACGGAGTTACAGAATGATCATTCATGCTGAACAGAAACAGTGATAAGCGAAAGGAACCTGTTTTGGTCTTCCTGAGTCTCCCATAACCTTCATCCAAGTCTCCAGGCGAAGAAATAAAACAACTTCGACAAACTAATTTTAAATTTTTACTTTTAATAGTTATTGCAGGATTTCCTTAATTTTTGGTGAGGTTAAAATTGCCATGTGCATCAACAAAAGGTTCTGTACTTACATTCTATTGTTCGCTGGTTGGGAATAAAACTTCAGAGTTCCCTGTTTATGTACGGATGTGTTAACTTGAATGAAAACAGTTGGAACAGTAACAGACTCAAATCTGCAAAGGATCCTTGGAGGGAAAAAGTTGACACAAGGAGAAGGGAAAATAAATGACCGTTTGAGGAGGCAGTCTTTATAACCTACTCTAACATGTATACATACACCATGCAACAGGCTATAAAAAGGATGAGGCTTCACAGGCTTTTAAATACAGTAGAGGTTTAGCAATCATTATGGAGTATCCACTTCTTACTCATTCCACAAACAATTTCTGTATTCATCAAAGATGTTGTCTTTCTGTCATGGATCCCTGCAATAGAGCAGATAGACATTTCCGCAGGTTCCGGCCGGCCAGCAGCCCTGTCCTAACAAACTGTAGGGTAGTCTGGTAGCGGCAGGAGGCAATCTGCTAACCAGCCAGAGGCCAACCTCTGCTTTGGGCATTGACAAAAACAATCATTCACTACACTTCAATGCTTGTAAACTAAAAAACACTTTACTGTTAGTAAATCAAGATTTTAGTTAAGTCACATCTTAGAGTCTTATGATCTAGTGCTCGATATAGATTGTGGCTAAGTAAATGGGATGACGTCTGAAAAGGTAGAAGCATGTGTACTGCATCCTCTGCACATCTCTACACTTCAGACATCTTTATTCCTTGTTAGGGTTTATAACTTAAAAATACAACTAAAGCTCCAAGCAAGAAATAACAGTATTTGATTCACAGCACATTTCTACTAGGTCCAGCATTCCTCAGCCTGAGGTACAGAACCCACTGTTCATATCTCTGGACAGTCACCAATTTTCCATTTGAAGTCTGATGGACCCATTAATATTTTCTTTCACTATTTTCTAAATGGCTGCAGTTGTGCATCATTGGCTCCAATGCTCCCTTCAAATCCAGCTTCAGCGCTGTGACTGTTAATGATTTTAAAAACCTTCTCTTTCCCATACTGCTCCTCTAAATATGATTTGGTGTTGAAAATAAATAAATAACTACACCAGAACCTGGCACTAAAATGGTCTTGATTCCCCCCCAAATTGGCAGCCATCCCAAGCCACCAAGGAATACGTGAACACAAATTAATTTTAATAACAGGTAGAAACGTTAGTGAGAATATTTATTGGGAGCAAATCTAGTTTCTCAGTAGAAATCAGCTTACAAGAGCTGGAATCAATCAGGAGGGACATCGCCTGGAGAGATGCTGTAGTGACAATCAGACAGTGGGAAACTGGCTTGAAAAGGAAAGATTTCTGGATTGATTAATTCTTAACTATGCTACGCTTGATAATCATACATTGCCCAGTTTTGCCATTAAAGCATGCTTGCTGCCAGTCTTGGAACAAGGTAACATCCTAAATGTGTGTTTCTAAATTTCTGCCAATCTCTGCTCGTAATGTCTATTTAAAATTCAGTAACATTTGGCGTGTAATGTAAAACCAGAGAAGAGGAGAGTAATTTTGGACTGATGCTAGAGAGTGGAACTGGGGATCTTTTATTCAAAACACTTTGGCTGCTTGTATTTATTTACCAACAGAGAACTTTGTCTGAAACTCCACTTTAAGTTCTGGCAGCACATTTGAGAGTAGAACTAAAAAGCTCTCATGAAGTGGCAAGGTGTAATTACTCATATTGGAAGAGGGTTGTTAAAGGTAACCCAACTAAACCATTTACCGATCAGTTCAAATAGGATTAAAGTGGCATAGGATCATGCCACACACCTACTCGGATTCAGGGGAGAAGCAGAACCACCTGGGAGACAATATAAAACTCTTATTGTGCTCAGTTGTCACTTATAAGAGGAGCAGTGGAAAAGGTTCAAAGAATCAAAAGTTTTGAGCTGGAGAATCTCCATTTATAATTACATGTGAAACAGCCCTGGAAGGGAGCAGCGAAAAATGGTACTTTTACACTCCCAAGGCTGACTTACTCATACTATTGTGGTGATATTCCTTGCATTTAATGCCTCTCAAATCAGGAGAACATCTCAAAGCACTTCACAGGTTTTATTGTAAAGTGTAGTGACTATCCTCTAGGTGAACATGCATAGCAAAGGAAAGTTCCACAAACAGCCAATGACCAATTGTGTTGTGGGGGGGCCACTTGCAGAAATTTCTTTTCAATTAGTGCCATAGGTTTTTTAACATTTACCTAAACAGGGAGACCAGCACCTCAGTTTAACATCTCATCTGAAGGATGTGCTTCCAAAAATTTTGCACCATTGGAATGTTGTCACCAGTTGGGTGCAACTTCTAAATGTAGAGTAAAGCCATCTCCATCTATCACCCACAATGAACATTATCCTCTCTCTGCCTCCCACCTTGTGGTAAAGTTGTAGCTGCTATGGGAGGGAAACCCATCTCGTGGATCAGATATTTCCTTACTCCACAAGCCTCTGTTTACTGAACAGTAAGTAGAACCCGATTGTTGGTTGATTGACGGATCGCTTTCTGGGGGTAATAATCCCTTCACAAAATAATGATTTGGTCCCTCATTCCACGACTGTTTGTGGGGCACTGCTGTGCGCAATTGGCTGCCGCATTTCGCCCACAAAATACGCAATCAATCCACTTTACAATACATTCTGTGAAATGCTTTGAGACGTTTCAACAACATGATTAGGTGTATATCAAGTGCAATGATTATTATATGCGAGAAGCAGGTAAACATAAGTAAGAAGATCTTCATGATTTAGCCGAATGCTTTGAAGTTAATTACGATAATAATAATCGTGTGAAGAGGGAGATTTAGGTTTATACAAGAACAAACAATGCAACTCATTGATCCTACACAGAATCCAGTTCCTGTGTCCTTTTGCTTAGGGAAGCAGCAGACAGGCTACGATGCACAAAGCTAGATTTCCTTACTTTTCTCCAGTTTCTGGTATGATCTATATTTAACACAATTGTGTATGAGTACATGCATGTCGGTGAATGTGAATATGGTGTGTATGTGAGACTAGAAGCACAATCTGAACCATTTGATCTTTCTCATTGCATTTATTATGGGAGTGGGGGGGAGGAGGCTGAGAATAATTCTGAAAACTAAAAATCGCATCAACATATTTGTCCTGACAGAGTAAGCTCTGATTCCATATAAACAACGTCAGTGAAGATACCAAAGTGAAGCAAAGGTAGTTTATGTAACCGCAATTTCTGAACCTAACAGATTGTTTTCTGTGACCAGGAATGGTTCTTGTGCGCAGTGACAGTGGCCAGTTGATGCTGATCCCTCAGCAAGCTCTACAACAGATGCAGTCACAAGCTCAGAGTCAAGGGGCTCTCACCTCACGCTCGGCAACACCAGGCAGTGCTCCTCCAGTTCAAATTTCAACTGTACAGGTAAGATCAAGGCTCATCAGCGTCCCTACAACTGCATTTATCAACAAAGCCTTAATAGCCCTCCCCCTCTGCATACATTAGTATAATAATAATAATACCCCAGAACAATCAGATGACACTATGGCACACAATGTGAAGTTGACCCACTTCCACCTACTGGGTACATTGGGTCATTAGAGATTTCTTTGTCGCGTCTTCATTGTTCCCTACAGAGGTTAGACATAGTTTGAGAGCAACCCTTATGCATATTCTGAAAATCTGAAATTACCAAGAAGTAATTAAAATCAAAGAATAACTGCGGCGCAGGATGTGTTACTCCACGTGGTTCCTGTTACACGTTTCATTTAAGTACCCTGGAGAATACTGCTCAGGAAAAAGTCCAGGAGTAGCAGGAGAGTTTTTTAAAAAATTGAATGCTGGAAATCCCCAACATTCAAAACATTAGTTGTAAAGCGAAAGATCTCAAGAAAGGGCCTACCCAAATCATTAAACTAACTTTCTCTTTGAGATACCGATCCATTTGCTGTCAATTTCCAGTACGTGAAGCACTTTAAGACGTTTCAATGACGTACTAAGGCGCTATGTCAAATGCATTATTTTTTATTGTTGTTTTGCTCCTGCCCGTTTCTAATTAAGGCTTGTGGGTTGGTCAGTTATCTTTCCACTCTCCAAGGTACTGAAAATGTCTACTTCAAAGGAATTTGACATTGGAGTTGAATACTAAAATGACTTGTGTATAACTTTTTTTAAAAAGACAAGATGATGCAATCTTTTGCCTTTGCAACAGTTTGAGCGGTCAGAATTTTTGAAGGCAACATGCTCTTCACAAAAATGTGCCAAAAGTGTTACCCACAATCTTTTTGGTCTTAAAATCCTCTCTAGGCACCAGGAACACAAATAATTGCACGTCAAGTGACACCGACGATCATTAAGCCGGTTTCACAGCCACAGACAACAGTACAACAAACAACGACATTGCAGCGGCCACCCACTGTACAGGTTTGTTTATTACAGTTGTACTTTACTGTGGATTTCAGGACATTGAACTGAAATTCAATAGGAAAGGTGAAGCAAACAAATTGACTGGGCTAAGGTAGTGAAGAGGTATTTTTTTAAAATTCACTTTAAGCCTCAACAACATCACAGAACTGAATAACTTTTATATTGATCTATTTTATCATTACACACATAGATGAATTACATTTCAAGAAATGCACATCTTAATGATGTTTTAAGTTTTACTACTGTTTGTTGGGGACTTGTTTATTTAATACCAAAAGTTTGATTGACTCGTGGAGGGCCATTCTAATGTGAATTATTCCCCTGGTTTTTACCCGTTGCAGTCTCAGATTGTAATAAGCGGGGCAACATCAACAGCAACAACAGTTCAACCAGGAACACCTCAGAGAACAGCAGCAGGGCCAGCGACCTCGCAGATACTGCAGCCTTCTCCCTCTGCTACTGCGGTAAGAAAAAGGGTACATAACTTATTTACCATCATAATCTAGTTTTCCTTTTCATCTTCTCTGCCTGTACACGGGAGGAGAGTCTTCTTTCCCTCCTCCTCCGCCCCCACAGGACTGTATTGTCATTATTATTTGCTTTGCCTCACTTTGCACAGTTATTTGTGCCTTTAGAAAAACTGATTGCACTTCAGTTTGGCAGGTTTAGACAGTATCTGACAAAAGAAAGTAAATGCAGGACTATTAAGGAGTCCTGTTAGAGCACTCGCCTCACAAGCAAGAGATCTGGGTTCGATTCCCAGCAGGGCGAAACCATGGGCAAGTTTCCTTATTCCACACGCCTGATAATAATCCCGCAAGAAAACAAAACTAATAATAATTTGGTCGCTCCATCCACGACTGTTTGTGGGACACTGCTGTGCGCAACTGGCTGCTGCGTTTCGCCCACAAATATACAGTCAATTCACTTTACAAAATATTCCGTGAAGCGCTTTAAGACGTCTCGAAGACGTAAAAAGCGCTATATCAAATGCAAGGATTAGTAGTAGTAGTAGCAAAAGTGAATTGGGCTGAATTACTAAGGCACACATTTGGCTCAATTGATATCAGCATTCTCACCTCTGCGTCAAAAGATTGTGGGTTTGAAGTCTCGCGTCAGGAAGTTTGCGCTCATTGCCTAGGCCTGTAATGGCCAACACTGTATACTTCGTTGGCGAGATCTTGTCTGCCTGTTCAGGTGGACACTAAAGATCCCACAAAACTTTTCAGAGAACAAGAGTTTTTCCCACCGATCCTGATCGACAAATCCTCCAGCTAAATTGATCAACAAAAACAAGATTACATTTGTATAGCCCCTTTCACGTTGGGAGGATGTCCCAAGGCACGGGACAGTGTACAGCATTTCAGATCCGAGCTGGGGTCAGGTGGGGGGGAGAAGGGAGGGGAAGGGGGGTGGCCGATGGCATGGTCGAAGAGGAGGGTCTTGAGGCGGGATTTGAAGGAGGCTAATGGGGGGACGAGGCGGAGTGACTGAGGGATGGAATTCCAGAGGTTGGGACAGAGTGGCTGAAGACTCTCCCGCCAATGGTGTGGCGGGTGGGTCGGGAGACGTGGAGCAGCCAGAGCCGGCTGAGCGGAGGGAGCGGGCGGGTTGGTAGGGGGTTAGGAGGTCGCAGTTAGGGTGGGGCGAGGCCATGGAGGGCTTTGTATGTGAGGACCAGGATCTTGAACAATGGAGTCGGGCGAGAGTGGGGGAGATGGGGTCACGGAGTTTGGTGCGGAAGAGGACACGGGCTGCAGAGTTCTGGATTACCTGCAGCTGTGGAGGGAGGAGTTGGGAAGGCCGACAAGCAGAGCGTTTGCACAGTCGAGCCTGGAGGTGATGAAAGTATGAACAAGAGTTTCAGTGGCCTGAGGGGTGAGGTAGTGGCGGAGTCGGGCGATGTTACGGAGGTGAGGGAAGGCAGAGCGGCTCATGGCTTGAATGTGGGGGAGAAAAGACAGTTGAGGGTTGAACAAGACACCCAGGTTCCTGACTGGCTGGTGAGTTGTAGTGTGCAACCATGGAAGTTGATGTTGCCAGAGCCTGAGGCGTTGACGGGAGCTAATCAGGAGGGCCTCAGTCTTGTTTACATTCAACTGTAGGAAGTTTGCTCTCATCCAGGACTTGATGTCCGACAGACAGTCTGTCAGGACAGCAGTGGAGTTGAGGGTGGAGGCAGAAAGATAGAGTTGGCTGTCATCTGCATACATGTGGAAGTTGACCCCATGTCTGCGGATGATGTCACCAAGGGGGAGCATGTAGATATTAAAGAGGAGAGGGCCAAGGACAGAGCCCTGGGGGACACCAGACGTAACAGTGCGGGGGCTGGAGGAGAAACCGTTAAGAGGCAACAAAGTGGAGACGGTGAGAGAGATAGGAAATCGAACCAGGCAAGGGCAGGTCCGCGAAGAATAACTAAAGAGGAGAGGCGGTGTTTGAGGATGATCCTGTAACAATGTTACGCACAAATGAGCTGCTGTTTTCATATAAATACAGTCACTACATTTAATTTAACACATGACATTTAACACTACAGTAATAGCTGTGAAACTGATGTTTTGACACGATAAGAGACTGTATCAAATGCAAAGGTGATTATTCAATTTGATTAAAGAATATATTTTAATATAAAAAGATGTTTTAAATTCACTTCATTTGACCCCAAATATCAGTGGGCTTTGTTCAGTGACAAGATTCTTTGATCGCTTCTATCCTCTGTGGTCTCCCAGTTCCAGTTATCCACTCTCGCAATACTATAAGATGCCAATTTTTGCTGCTGTTTTATAAGATTTGAAAAATCTATCAATCATAATCTGGTTAACTGCGCTACTTTTTTGGCATGTCTTCCCTCTAATTCTATTTACATTGGAACATTGACTGCCATCTGTCATCCACAAGAGAGGTTCAGATGAAGAAGGCCCTTCATCCCATTTGATCTCATTCTACCACAATACCCACATTATCGTCTCCCACTTATAAACAGCTAGCTGCTAAACTCCAGGCCACTGGTCTCAATCAAATTTTTTTTGATAACTGTCCTTTAGATGAGATATTAAACCAAGGTCAAGTCTGACTATTAAAATAAATGTCAACATTCCCCATGATACAATTTGGAGAGAACAAGAGTTTCTCCCTCCCCCGAGTCCTAGCCATCAATCCCCCAGATAAAAATGGGCCGTTCACTTTATGGCCGCTTGTGGGACATTGCTGCATATAAACTGGCTTGCTAAATCCACCTACAAGATACACAGTCACTGCACTTTGCAGAAATCTCTGAAGCATTTTGACATGCTTTGATGAGAGAAGGTCTATATTAAATGCAAGGATCATTTTTGTTACAATCCAGCTGGTGATCACGCAGGATAAATAAATAGTTCCTGGTGTCCGTCCTAATCATATCCTTCCTATGCCTTAACCTGTGCCTCTAATCTATCCTCTACTGACAATTTAAGCCTCAGTAGCAGTGATCAAATGTAGATTACTGTAACTAATCCACCGTAATTAAGCAGGTTTTTTCTAGAACTGATCGAGCAATTTTATTAATTAAATTGGAACCAAATTTGAACAGTAACTTTCAAATGAGAAGAGAAAGTACGGTATTTTCTAGCATGGAATTCTGTTCAGAATACCCTTCAAAAGTAATCTAGGTCAGTATGTCAGCAGCTAACTGGCTTTGGCACAGAAACTCCAACCCGCTTCCTGGCTGGCGAGTTAGACACATACAGCCATCTGCTGGCAGACTCTCAGAGCTGTACATAGTGTTGTGGTACTAAAAAAAAGTTCCACTTCTGTAAAACATTCATTTACCAGGAGCGTCAGGATTACGTGTGCAGAATTCTGCATCTAGAGAGAGTCGACGGAGGTAAAGTAATTAGCTTTTGGTAACAAAATTGTCAAAGCATTTTTCCACCGAAGAGCAATTTCCATTAGTGAGCATCATTCTTATGAATATTCTCCACTGATGTGATTATGTTTAAAAGATAGAAGTAATTGCATGTATTTTCAGGCACATCTAAAGTGAAGTGATAAATAAAAGTAGCAAAATTCCCTTCCCTTTAGGAATAGTTCCAAGAAATCTTCAACATCCACTTGACCTCGGTTTAATGGCTCATACTTATATCAAAGAACAGAATACTGTGCATTTTGAACAGGGCAAGTGTCTAGATACTGTATCAAGAATAATCTAATACACCAATACAGGAAATAAAGACTTTTTTTCACAGGAAACTATGGAAAATGTCAAGAAATGCAAGAACTTTCTGTCCACGCTGATCAAGCTAGCTTCAAGCGGCAAACAGTCAACTGAAACGGCTGCTAACGTCAAAGAATTGGTGCAAAACTTACTGGTGAGAAAGTGTTTTACACGTTTACATTGAAGCCATCGAGAATTTAAAAAAACAAATGAATTGTTCAGTTGGCCACAAAGAGGGATTCAGCCACTGAGTTTCTTTGAAAGGCGACCAATAAAGCAAAGTGAACCATGTGTAAGGACCATTAAAGTCAGTTTTTAATCCATAAAATAAATCTCATATTTTCAGGCTCTTATTTTTCTGTCAAACTCGAGGAGGGGTTTGGGAGGGGGCAATTTGACACAACCTGAGCACAATCAACTGTAAAGCATCGTGTGCCATAGATTTTCTGTGATTCTGTTAAGTAGTTAATATGGTTTCCACTAAACTTCCTAAGTTTTCTTTCTTTTGGGTCAATGGATTCTGTATGTTTTCATGCACAGTAAGGCTGAAAAAAGTAGTTAGATTATATTTGAATAGTGCCTGTATCTTCTTTATACTGGTCAATACTGATTAGAAGAAAGTATTGGTTTATTCCCTATGGAGTACAAATGAACTATTAAAACGGAAATGGAATTTTATCAAGTTAAATGCTCTTAACCTTTTAATTCCCCCAGGATGGGAAAATTGAAGCTGAAGACTTCACTAGTCGACTATACAGAGAGCTAAATTCCTCGCCTCAACCTTATCTTGTGCCTTTCCTGAAGGTAATTCATTGTCTCAGTACTACATCCCAAGTTTCCCCCCCCCCCCACCCCAAAATGCCTTTCGTGCCTTCATTGAAGTTGGCATTTTAAAATGTGTGATACAAGTATTTTGTTTGATAAACTAAAGATCTGATTGTAAGTAAGATACATTTGTATAAGTGGATAAAATATTTCCATCTTGCCTTTCCCAGCGGAGTTTGCCTGCCTTGCGCCAACTTACTCAAGACTCGCAAGCTTTCATTCAGCAAAGTCAACTTCAGCAACCTTCAACTCAGACCACGACAGCCCTGACAGCAGTCGTACTCGGAAACACAGTTCCACAGCGCTCCACAGTGCGAACAGCTACAGCCACAGTGACCAGTACCCTCCAACATCCTGTGTTAAGCTTAGCACAGACTGGGCAAGCAGGACAGAGCAAAGCAGGGCAACCAACACAACTGGTATGTCACATTAGCATTTCATATGATGTGTGTATACGTTAAAGAGAAACGTGAATAATCTAATTTGCTTAATAAATAGCTGTAGGCTGGCTGGTTTCCTTTATCATATTTCAACAATGCAGGTGGGAGAGAGTCTGTAAACAAGCAACCAATCCCCCTTTCCAATGACCAGGGGGAATGTTCCACATTTTGAGTGAAAGAGACTGTACGTAAAATTCCATTTACACTGTCATCAAGCAAACATTATGCTTCCCCATAAAACACACAGAGTGACAGGAGTAATATAATAATATATTGCATTTTATATAGCGCCTTATCACGTCTTCGAGACGTCTCAAAGCGCTTCACAGAATATACTGTAAAGTGAATTGACTGTATATTTTGTGGGCGAACCATGGCAACTAATTGCACACAGCAGCGTCCCACAAACAGTCATGGATTGAGTGACCATTTTATTATTTTTTTTGGAGGGATTATTATCCACGGAAAAGCAATCCGCCAATTGACTAACAACCAGGATCCTACTTACTGCTAGGTGTGTGGAGTAAGGAAACTTGCCCAACATTTTGCCCTGCAATATGGAGTTTTCCCTTGTGTAACATTTAGGATAATGTGACACTTGATTTAAATACAGAATGACTCATGTAGACAAAGGTTATAGACAAAGGTACTCGTTAAAACGTCCAAGCTTGTGTGTATAATCTTCTCAAATGACCTTGAAGTACTGGGAAACTCAAGAATAATTATATAAAAGTGCTTCATTTTAATTGTTTTTTTAAAAAAAGTTTACGACTCTCAACTAACTAACACAGAAAATCAGGGAAAAGGTACTCTTGCAAAATATACTGTATGTTTTTGAATGCAAGCAGAACACAATTTTCGGTAACTTGGGTGGGAGGGGAGAAAGCAACCAGATTACTTTCTACACTATTGTATAAGCAAATATCAAGCATCTTTGGGTGCATTCAATTAAAGCACACAATTTTAATTTAAAATTTCCATTTTAATTTAGATTTCTGTGATATTAAAATACTTATAATAAATTATTGCATTTTCTGCAATTCTCTATCAAGTCATTGACACGTCTCAAAGCACTTCACATAATTTACTGTCAAGTCTACTGGCAACGTATTCGTATTTCAGCCTCTGTACCCATAATAAAAAAGGCTGAGTTTTTAATATATAAACTGTTGTCAGGGTTCTAACCCACTGCTTTTGCCTTTAGGTTGTTCAGCCACAATCGCAGCAAGGCACCCTGGTGAGACCACAGGTAACACTGACATCAGCACCCATGGTAACGCTTCGACAACCACAGAACCGCATCATGTTGACAGCTCCTCCGCAGGTTCAGTTGAAGCAATTTCATCAAACAGGTTAGTAACCCATGGGGTAGGTTTGCCTTTTACAATGTAATCCACACCGCATCACCGCAAAACATCATGTCTATGTTCAGTAATTGTTCCCAAAATTACCTTGGACCTCGGACTTCTTTAATCGAATCCATTTAAGATCAACATTAACTTTCAAAAGCACGAGACCATTGAAGGGACAATGGCTGAATGTTAAGAGGGACCTCCTGGGGATGGGGGGGGATTGAATTGCTCTCCTGGCCTTGTGAGCCGCTACACACACCATGGGCAGAATGTTCTTCCGAGCCCTAGATTTCTACATAATCTCGATTAACCACTGTCAATTCCAGCAGTGGTGCCAGGCAGCACAGACAGTGCTTAAGTTTAATTAAGTAAAAGCTTTAAAAGAAAATCAGATGGAAGGTGGAGAGTGGTGAGGTACTGGGAGAGTGCCTCGCATGTAAGACATAATAAACATCATTCTTAAAAATAACCTTCCTAGCATCCCATTGCTTCGACTTTTCAGTAAACAGTTTGCACTTTAACGCACAAATACAGTTGAGCTGTGCTCCCTCAGTGAGGCCAGTATACGATCAGTAACAGCTCAAGTACTGTACTTTTCACTGCCAAAAAATCCCAAATAGTCCACAATTCTGTCAGTCTCCAGCAGTAAATTTGATGAATTTAGCATAATATTGGCACAACCATATCATGAAGTTTTTACAACACACCCAGTAAATTTACTGCAAATCTAGTAAAGTTTTTTTTAAAACCAGACTTACTGGGCAATCTTGATATATTAAGGGAACTTCAGTTTATTGACTTTGGGAGCAAACTATAAAATATATTCAATGATGGAGCAAGTCCTGAAATACCCAGACAACAGTTTATCGAATGGTTTGTTGTCAGCATAACAAAGGCTGAAATTCTGGACCGCTACAAGCATTTTTACAGCTGAATATTTACGTATAAAAAAAAATGTGAGCTGGAGAATGTTACCGGATTGAAGATGGGTGTAGATTTTAGCAAGATTCGGTCTTTAATGCCCAATTTTACTTTGGATTCAGTTCCTGTTATGAAACAGACGGTGGTGTCGGGAAATAAAGCTGGCGTGACCTACTCTGTCCAGACCTCAGTTGTTCAGAAGAACAAGCTTAAAGAAGCAGCAGGTGGTTCATTCAGGTGAGTCACAGAATGAAGCAAATTATATTTAGTAAATTATTGAACAGCTTCATTCCACCATATCACCATTATAATACTCTTAATCAGTGATAAAAATATTTATCTTCATGAAAGCCTAAAAGGAATGTCGATCATCTCCAGACACAAGTGTTGTGTGAGTTGGATATATTCCTTCAAGCTTTCCTTCCCCACTAAGTCCCAATATCAGATGTGAAATAAACAGAGTAATTCTAGTTAGGCTGGCTGACATGGCAGCCCGTTCCTCTCAGAGTCAAAGGGTTTCAGGCTCCAGCCCGTCACTAGGTTTGAGCCGATAGCCTCAGAGTCTGCTGGCCACTGAACTGGCCGTTCAGCTTGTGGGACCTCACTGACACCACATGGCCAGAGTTTGCCTTTTGATTAAGTCCCTTTTCCTCATCAGTAATGAAAGGAAACCATCAGTACCATGGTCTGCACACAGCAGTTATGTGGCAGTGAGCAATAAGCCTGAGAGCAAGTCAACTGCTGACCTGCACTTGGGAAGAATTGAGAGAAATGTCTCTTCATTTCCTGCCAAAATACGATGTCATAAATACTTACTGATTTTCACAAAGTGCTTTTCATTTTAATTCACCACATTGTGACATTGGATGTGCGTTCCCCTAGGGACGACGACGACATCAATGATGTGGCGTCCATGGCTGGAGTCAACCTCTCGGAAGAAAGTGCCCGGATCTTGGCAACCAATTCAGAGCTGGTGGGCACCCTGACCAGATCGTGTAAAGATGAGGCATTCCTGTTTAATGCACCGTTGCACAGAAGAATATTAGAAATAGGTAAAAAGTTGTCTTAACCGCTTTCAGGACAGATACTTAATTGCGCAAGTTTTGTTGATCATCAGGCATCATCTAGAAACACAAACTGAACATGTAAGGTATTATTGCGCAGACGTATAATAGCGCATGCATTTATTTTTCCATCAAACGTTACATCCTCCATCGATCAATGCTGCATGTTACAAGGATGTTGCTATAATAATTTCATTATTGTTTAACCAACACCACGGTGTCCCACTTCTTGTTTTGGGGAATAGGAAAAAAACATGGAATAACTGAAATTCATCCCGATGTAGTAAGTTTTGTGTCACACGCAACCCAGCAGAGGTTACAAACACTTGTAGAAAAAATATCTGAAGTCGCCCAACAGAGAAACATTTCGTATAAGGTGAGTGCAGCTTCTTTCTGAGAGGCCCAGTTCTTTTCCAATCTTTCAAATCAAGATTAATGTGTGATTTATTGCTATCAAAATGGTTACATCCAAATGCAATTTATCATTATGTCCGTCTAATCACTGCCTATTTCAAAGTGCAAATTATATTTGATTTATTCCATATGTTTTGTCTTGAAGACTATACAAGGCTAATTGGAGAGAATGTGTTACTGAACATATGCAAGGGTGGCAAACACTTGATATTTTATACATATGTTTATTCCAATGTAGCTTTTTCCCATATCTCAATGTTGCCAAAATATACCACAAATAAATGAGACAGCTTATTCTGTGTTGCTTCTCTACCTATTTAATGAGCAGAGTAAAGTATCATTCCATAGTTTGGGAGAATCGTGTGTGGAACATTTCTCTCCACCCACAAGATTGGACCTGAAAGTCTAACCAATATATCGATGGGCTTCAATGTCATCTCCTTATTGGAGCTCAAACCTGCCTAAAGCAAAACATTACTGTCTATTTTTCCATATGCCTCTGTCTATTTATCCATTAGTCAAAGTTGCTGTACAAACAGTTCTTTTCATACTTCTACAGATCATCAGTAATGTCATTATTTTTTGATTTTAGGAGGATGACAGGTATGAGCAGTTAAGTGATGTAAGGTCACAGCTAAAGTTCTTTGAACAACTCGATCAAATGGAAAAGCAGAGAAAAGATGAACAAGAAAGGGAAATTTTAATGCGAGCGGCAAAGGTAAGCAACACTTCTCCATTGTAATTACGATGACAAAACTTGTATTAGGTGCAGGTTGCTGACTGAAACCAACCAGGAAATGACTGATTATAAACGAGCCTGCAATTCAATTGTGTAGCCACACAGTCCTAAAGTTAAAATTTATTAATTCTAGCATTTAGCACGTAACCAGCCAAAGCTAAACTTGGTGCATTCCTCAATCATATCCAACAATGGGTGCTGTGTGCACTAGTACATCATATAATGACAGTCTCCAGTTGATATTTTTGCTTCACTCAATTAACTCAAAGGCAGTTGCACGAAAATATCTGCAATTCTTTTCCTACTTCGTCATAATCCATTATTCAGTGTGCTTGCAATATAAGTATGTTCAGAATAATCCTTGCATTTGATATATGTATTTATGAAATACCTCAAAGTGCTTCACAGTGTAGTGCCTGTATTTGTAGGCAAATTCAGCAGCCAATTTGTACACAGCAAGATTTCACCTCCAGCCATGAAGTGAACAAATAATTTGTGGGACTTCAAACCACAATCCTCTGGCCCAGAGGCGAAAATACTATCCACTGAGCCCAGCTAAACACCTACATTTACACTGGACTAAAATTATCAGCCTCGAATTTCATCCAGTTTAATAAATCAAACCCATCGCTATAACAAAGAGTCTGATATTGTACATTAGGAAACAAGTGATAGGATGCTTTACATTTATTATTTCCTTCTTTGTGACTCAGTCTCGCTCCAGACAAGAGGACCCAGAACAACTGAGGCTAAAACAAAAGGCCAAAGAGGTATGCAAACTTTCTGAACCAATTCTGTGAGTGATAGATGCTTGAATAAAGTAGAGGATCACAGAAGCTTATGGGAAAATCTGTATCTACAACCGAAGAGCAAGTTAACCTTAGTCAGAAAGCAGTAACAGAAAAAATAATAAAGTAAATCTATTCAACATTGAGATTAGGGTGTATAAATTGTTGATCTCTAAAGCACGAGCTAGTTACAGTTCACTTAGCTATGAAGAAGCTCTTACTAATTAATTAAAATGACGTAGAGCTTCACTCAAACCACCCAAAGCTGAGGGAAGAAAGATAAGCAGGACATGGGAACATCCTGAAAACTGTAAACCACTTAAACACATATTACTTTGATAACCAGATGCAACAACAGGAGTTGGCACAAATGAGACAGAGAGAAGCCAACTTAACTGCATTAGCTGCCATCGGTCCCAGAAAGAAGCGGAAGGTTGATTCACCAGGACCTGGCACTGGGTCGGGAACAGAGGTAAAGTATTTAACGTTATACACACACACAGCACACTCGCATGGCATTCAGATAGGTTCTATGTAATGCAGATTTGGAACATGACATGGGAAAAATATGCATCGGTGCTTTTGCAAATTAAACCTGCTCTGTCTACATTTAATGCAGCAGCAAAACTGATTGTGTACCTCTGAGCACAAACATTACTCTGTAGAGTATTGTGGACTCAATGTAGGGCACAAACCTGAAACAGGCTTTCGCTAAACAAATTTGGAGAGGACACGGCTGTTAAGAAAACTTCTTCAGCACTGCTTACGAGTTATCTGCTGCACAAGAATTGGGTTCTAGAGAAAGCTGGACTTAATCTTTCCCTGGGTTGAATTTCTGATTCTTCCTAGGTCAATCTGTTTCTACTGATTAATTTTTAGCAAACAAATATCTACCCATTTACTATACAGCTCATAGGCATTTCACACCTCATTTGCTATTCAGGAAGTCTGTTATTGATCAGTTTTGCCCAGAAAATACACAGTAGATATGTGAAATGCTACAATTAACTCCTTGAAACACACAACTGCAAAAAGCCGTCAACAATATGCACTGTAACTTGGGGACCAGTTAAAACCGGTGGAAAATGTTAATTTTTTGCAAATATAATAGCAAATCAGGAAAACAGATAATCCGTTGAACTTCAGAAATGTGTGAAATTAGACAATAAACACAATGGTTTCCTTTTACTTTTCTCCTCTGCTGAAAGTGAGAGGTCGGGTAGCTTTCCAATACCTCACCAGGCGACCATTCCTCATGATTCACAACTGAAGTTAGGACAGAAAACGTTAAAAAAAACTCCCATTACAGCGTACAAGCGTGTTCTTACCTCATACCACAGACTAATCCTGGAGGTGGTGAGGGAGGAGTCTCACTCACTCAATAGCAATCGGGGAATAGTGGGCACGAAGGCCACTTGTATACTGACCTGATTTGAGATGAGATGAACTAACTTAGCACACACCTCCAGTAAGGCAACACTGCACATGCCCCGTCGTGTAATTAACGGCCGCCTGCTTTGCCTTGCTGTAGGGTACCAGCCCTGGAGGGACACCGGGTGGCTCTGGAGTTGGAACAACTCGGCAGTTCGCACGGCAACGAATAACAAGAGTCAACCTCAGGGACCTTATATTCTGCTTGGAGAATGAGCGAGAGACGAGCCATTCACTAACACTATACCGTGCATTCCTTAAATAAACATCATAGGTTGATTTGTATTTGTTTTTTGACTGAGACAACTTTCTGCCATTTCTTTCTTTGCTTTTTTTTTGGGTGGGGGTGGGGGGGTTGTATAGGTGGAGAATAGCTGGAATTCTGCAAGTGGAAATGTTTTTAATGTTCAGCTTTACATTAACTCTTCTTTTTAAAAATTTTAGTTAGAAAATTTGTGATACAATAAGACCTGTGGATACTTTATTTATAAAATAAAAAAATCTGATCACTTCTCGTCTCCTGACTGAGTGGCCTTCTTGCCAAACAAGCCATATTTTGAAAAAAAATGTCACCAATACATAATTTGCCACCTTTTTGGCAGATTAGCAGCAACTTGAAACATTAGAAGTATTGTTTAGAGTACAATGAATCATTTGGCTTAGAGAACTTTTAATTATATGGGTCTGAAGCTAAGGACCTGACATTTTACCTTTAAGGGCATGGAGCAAAAACATTTTCATTTTTTGTATTTTTATCTATTTCTCGTAGTTTCCTTTCCTTTGCTGTATTTTTCCTGATTTAGCCTTCGTAAATGTATGGGTTTGTGAAGAGTTTAGGAGAGTTTTGTTCAGTGGTAACTGCAGTTCTCACCATGTGATTTGCATGTCGGAGGCTTTTCCTTGGGGGTAGCCTTTTAAGAAGGGTTTTCTTTTGTGAATGTTGTAGGGCATTTGTAAAAAGATTTAAAAAAAATCTCGCTTTTATTTGATACAATACATAATGCCGTAAAGGATTAAAAAAAAACTTTCCTGCATAAATATACATTACTTGCACTGTGTTGGCTCTCTAGCTAAAACTTTAGTTTAAACAAAAATCTAATAGTGAATTGTGAAAGGATCGTTTCCTGGTATGAATCACGTGTAGAAAACAATTTGCTGGTGTCTATCAGTGAGCTAATAATTTGTACATAATTTTGGCACATAACATAAATTGCTATGTAAACCGTAATTATTTTGGTAAAAAGACTGTATGCAAGCGATGGACCTACTTAATGGTAACCAGAGCAATGTCCCTTCTTTGTATCTATTTTTTTATAAAAAATACTAAATTTTTCTTTATATTTTCAGAGGTTATTGTATTAAATGATTGTCTATCGATAGGACATTATGATTGTAAATACTTTTGCTTTCTCCGTGTGTAATTTTATGTTGTTAAAGAAATGTTTAAGATGCTATTAAGCTGATGAATTCTGTGTGTGAACTGAAAACTAATCAGTATTTTTACCAATGCCTGAAAACTGTTACACCCTGGGTCTTTTACAAATCCTGTCTTTCCATTTTTCATGTAAATTTTGCACAGTTACTTGTTAATATGTAAATATTTTACTTTCGAAAAAGGAAGTTTTTAATTACTATTGTTTTATATAGGATTGAAAGAGAATTAACTCCTTTATTAAAACAATGAATTTATCTGTATTTTGCTTACTGTTTTTCTCATCACTTGACCCCATCCCTTTTAGAATTTGTCAACTCCTTAGTACAAAAACAATCCGATGACCAAATGCAGTATTATTTCACTGCTATTCCACCACAATGTTCTAATTAGATTTTTTTTAAAAAGTTAAGTGCTTGTAGTAATTGCATGCGTCGTAAGAGATTATGGATTGACAGGTCTAAAAACAATCCCATTGCCTTCCTCGTGTCGCAGGATAATGTGTAGGGAGGGTGGCAGCTGATTGAGGTAATCCATCGTGTTAAACATAATTTTTTTTACAAAAGTCAGAAGGATCCTCGAGCGATACTGACCATTGTGAAAATTACATGTGAAAGTTTACTAAGAAAAACTGTCGCCATATTTCTAAGCACAAGCCGTGTACTTCATACTAAAAGACTAAACCTTCAAAACACACCCGTTTGCACAAATCATTTATCTGAAATCTCTGCAGATAAGTTTAATATATACAGAATCAAACAAGGCAGTTCTTAATTCACACTATCAGCAGACACACATACAATTAAATGACATTTTTGACCTGGTTCAGAAACGGAACCATCATTTTAATGAGGAATAAGGCAATGCAGGCTCGACCTGAAGTCTGTACAAATACCAGATCAGCCAGTGCTGTGACAAACACGACAAAACGTTAGGAAACCCTCCTCAATAGCACCACAAGCCTTGTTTGTTTCCACAATGATTGGAAACACTCTAACTAAGACCTGCCTGGGAACGAGAGGCTTTTAAGGATCAACAGCAAAGTCGATTGTTACAGGATTTATTATTTTTAATACCAACGACAAGCATATGATTCCCTTCAGTTCACAAACAAACGTTGCAGAGTTCAAATCACACCTGCGTGATGTTCTCCCGACCACAATAAGTGCACCTTCACATCCAAGGTGATAAAATGGAACACTTTCCAAAAGGATAGTCTGGAACAGCAACATTGCTTTTGGTTTTCTGTAGATTGGTCTTAAAACTTTAGCCCACTGCATTGTGCAAGGTAATTTCTGTTGAAAGAGTCGTCCAGAGAATATTGTACCCAAAAAATAAGGTACCTTTTCTCCAGCAAGTTATAAAATCAAGGTCCTGGAAGTTTGAGACGCTTTGAATGTATCTAGGTATTTCCTTGCCTTCTCCGTCATTATCAGCTGATCTTTTGTTTTTCCACAAGCCACTATTTCCCAAGCGCTGTTCATCTGCAAACAGAAATCAAAGGGAGGAAAGGGTTTGAAAGTTATTTGCAAAACTACTTCATATGCTGAAAACAGAGAACAAAATCCGTGAAATTAAAATTCACCTTATTTTCTACCTACAATGAAACTCTGATAGCTTGCCAAACGCACAAAACTCGTCACTCACTCAAACTCCCGGCTATTTCCCATAATAAATGTGAAGGTTTCGCCCTGCCCAGGAATCGAACCCAGGTCCTCACTTGCGAGGCGAGTGCTCCAACCACTGAGCTACAGGTCTCCACAACCTGCTGGTGGCAGAAGGCACTCACAGTACATACCCGGATTGGAGTTTTCTGTTTACAGCACACAGAGGAACAGCTCGCTCCTTCCTTTGGGATAATGAACCCTGTGTCCAGGGTACTGTTGTGATTCTTACTTGTTGAGGTGTTCAAAGAATTTGACAGAAAGCTTTCTGACTGCTTGAAAAACAAAGGTAAAAAGCGTACAATGGTCAGGCTAAAATAAAGCAAAATATTAAACTTATTGAAGTTAGTGGCTTTTTTTTCTTTTACACCCAAATATTTCATCCCGGTTTGATACGACAATTCTACCATCAATGCTGCCTTTCCTCTCGGCACCCGACCCTCTCTCAGAAATTGTCCCAATCGAATGATTAAGCGTTTTGGGGTTCTGGAGGGTATATCCAGCACCTGAAAGTGAATGTTTCTGGGCACTGGGATAGCTGACAGTGGAAATGTAATATGAATTTATGGTGTTGGGAAAAACGCTCATCAGAAAAATGGCAACACAAAGTGACTGAAGCCTCGCACCAGGAAAAGCAGCTCAGGGGTAAAAGGGTGCATCTCATGATACAGAGGAACTGTGTGGGTTTCTGCAAGTCAGGAATTTCTTTCTTTGTATGTGTTTTTTAAAGCCGGCAACAGCAAAAAAAAATACATCTTTATTCAAACGTTCAAAAGTCACAATGACCAGATTTCTCTGTACAGGAAAGTCCACACCAAACGTACAGTGTCTCCCCTCCCCTCCTCTGGCTGGTAAAGATTACCTGGTTATTGGTGCTGGATGAAGCTTGATTCACTTTACTTGTATCTTTGTCCAAAATGTCTAAAGCAAGTGACTTTCTCACTTTCTTCACAGGAGGTCTGTGTTGCTGCACAAACAAGATCAGTTAAAAACATTTTTTTTTAACCAAACTGAGATTTCTAGAGCTTTATTAATCAAGTCGCAAAAGGTTCAACGCCAAATGGTTCATGCAGCATTGACCAGCACAAGGTTTAACTGATTCCTAATAAATACAAACAGACCAACATACCAAACGAAGAGATTACTAACTAAGTGCTCACTCCATAACAGACAAAACAGAAATTCCCATACGTGAGGAGCTCTCAATAAATTGGTTTGGAAGGTGAGGTGATGGAAGGGATTATGTGCTAAAAAATCTGGAGCAGTAATTATTGCTCAAATAAAAGCTATACTTCACATGTGGCGAGTTGCACAATTGGGAGAGGATAGGGAGGAACTGAAAGGAATTTCAATCCGGTTAAGACTTCCAGACACAAAGTCTCAAAATGTTCTCTCACAACAAGACTAACTCTCCAGGCAGAGACTAACGTTCTTTGGGCCATTTACATCTTAATGAAAGGAGAGGCAGGAAGGAGGAACTGCTTGAATTTTCACGCACACACTGACCCTGTACATCTTTCTTTTGATTGCCTGCATTTCCTCTTCATGCATCGCCATATCAGCCTCATTCCGTAAAATCTCTTTAAGGTCCTCTTCGAAATGGGGCGTCGGAGGCTTGGTTGGACGTTTAAAAAAAAGGTATTTTTTTAAAAATTATCTCTTGCATAAACACTTACTTCGAATGAATTCTCCCCCCATCCCAACCCCCTCATTCGGCACGTCCTGGTTGATACCTACTCGTGGCTTTAAGTATCCATACTTTTCCAGGGCGTTTTTGAAAGGAGTGGGTGTCCGTGGTGTACTGTCCAAGAGGGATCTGCGGCTTCTGGGGGTACAAGACCTGCAAATGGACAAACAAATGAGTTCACCTTAAACAAAGAAGGACAGCATCACTATTCGTTATTTGATGGCCTATCGGGGGGGGGGGGGGGAGAGAGAGAGAGCGCATTCCATTCCAACAATCTATCTCTGGATTTACATGTCCAGGTGGATGCAGGGAATTCTCAGTTTTGTTTGGAGACTCTTAAGCAATGGTGAGGATTTCTGCATGTGTTGCTAATAAAACAATTAATCATTAAGTTCCACTGTTTATACTGACAGCCGCTTTATATCTCTTTGCTGCTGTGCCAAAGGGGTTAATAGACAGAATCTGTTCCAAAACTGGTTCTGATCAACTCCCAGTTCCTGTTTGTTTTAGGGCAGCATGGACATCTATTTATTTATTTATAAAGAATTATTCAGCAACAGGGAGCCACAGAGCACTTACATTCTCAGACTGGCAGGGTTTCTAACTGCTGCAGTCACTTAGCATGGCAGGTGCTCCAGGGTTAATTGTTCGGCTGTCAGAGCAGTGTGTAAAGTTGCCATTTTTGTCTTGTGCGCAACGTAAATACTCATTTATTTCTGCGGATCACCTTGTTCTGGATTTCAGATGTCAGCTGTGCAGCACTTACATCAGGATGACACTGGTTAAGCTACAAGAGCAATTGACCGAGAACTCGGTTTCTCCAGATTTCATTGATTCCTTCCCGCCTGTTCTGTTATTTCACATGCGGGTTTTGTCTGCAACAGTTTTTTTCATGAGTCAAATCCTTGGTTTGGTTTGTCAAATATTATATATTTTTTTAAAAAAAGAAATATTCATGTAAATGCCAAACTGAGAGAGACCTTAAATGATGATGCGGATGAATGCTGGTCTGGGCGAGCCGAACACACACAGACAGAGGTCAGTAAAAGAATTAAAATTGACGGAGGAGAGTTGGCAAAGGTAAAGTTAGGTGACTCAGCAATCCAGGAATTGCATTTCCAAGAAGCTAGCGGGGAATACGATCTTCTCAACAGGATCCAGCGTACACATGGACAGTAACACACACAGTCTGTCCTCAGGTGTGTGAACAATCAGCTGATTAAATGGAAGATGAACACAGCTTATACCATTCTGGGAGGGAGGGAGAGGGGGCGAGGGGGGGAGGAGGGAGGAAAGAGGGGGTTCAGCATTGCTACTCGAGTACTTTAGATTTACTTCACAGCTTGATATTTCAGCACATTTAGCCCAAGTTTGTAACTTCACAGTTTGTGACACGAAGGGGCTGCCCAACTCCAGCTACTTACACAGAATTCTCCTTCTGAAGTTTGGGTGTGTAGTCCCGCTGCAGAGGGGTGGTGACCACTATTTTCTGGCTGCAGACTGGTGTAGAGGTGAGAGAGGGATTCTCTATATCAAGACTGTCTTGTTTGGTCCAGAAATTCAAAAACTGAAGGAGAAGAGAAGGAAAGAAACAACAGCATCAATAATTAGACTCAATTTATAGCACGTTTATCCCTAAAATAATTTATGAAACAAGACAACTGTTGTAGTAATTTTAAAAAGTTGGATTAAGTTCCAGTGTGCTTCAGTTGGTAGCGCTCTTGCTTCTGGGTCAAAAAATTGTGGGTTCAAACCCTATTTTAGTACTTGAGTTCAGATTCCAGGCTGACACTCTGCTGTGCAATGGGAGGTGCCATCCTTTGGAAGATCTGAAAACTGAGATCCTTCCAGGCTATTCAGCTGGATATTAAAGATTATGTGACACTATAGTTTCTTACTGTGTCCTGACTACAAACCCTCTGGATAAACGTCCTTAGACTACATCAAATGCACAGAACTTTATTCACTTCATGGTAGTTTGTGGAAATATTGCCATGTCTTTGCCTGCAAATACAGTTACTACACTTGACAACAACTCCATGAAAAGGGATGTTCGGTGCTATATCAAATGCGTCTATTAATTATAAAGAATCCAATAGTTGAAGGGAAATCGTCACCAGGTGAGCCAAGCTGACAGAATTCAAACCACATGTTCCAGCGCCTCGGGACGTCCTCCCGACATGAAAGGCACTATACAAATGTAATTCTGTTGTTGTACTAAACAGTGGTTCAGCTACACTAACGATCATCAGTTATTAATTGTGCAGACAGAAAAAAGTGCTCAGCACAGACATTACCTGCGAGGGTGAGAAAGGCAGACTCTTCACTGGAGTGCTCTTGGGGGTCATGGTGCTGTTACTGGTGTCCATGACCACAGAACTGTTGTTAGAGTTACTGCTGTCATTAACTGGCGACAGTGTAACCTTGGTCTTCTTCTTGCGCCTCAGGATTGTTGGCGGAGTACTGAAGCTGCCCGCCACTGGGGAGGTGATCATAGGAATCAGTTCCCCTTTCTTTACGCTTTTGCTCAGGTCCGAGATGGAAGTTGCATCAAAGTGAAATTCAGTTACAGTTTGCTCAGCCACTGAGCTCTTTTTATCAGGAGTTTGTTTAGCTAGACTGGTGGCCGGCTCTTCTGGCAAGTCAAAGTTCGGCAGTTCACACCATCCATCTGGGTACTGAAGTTCAGGAGAGAAAGTAAATAGAGCAGTGATTAATTAGACCCTTTCTGTACCTGCTTCCATGTTGCTGCTAAATATCACACTGCTTCTGAAAACCTGCCTTCAACAAGACAGATATACACCCACAACCAGACATTGCACAGCATCCATCCCTCCCTCCCCAATTTCTGAATGAATAATAATCTATCTTAAAAAGCACCAGTAACATGTAATGTATGTGAGAATGATTTCCTAGGGTAGTGTGAGTGAGTGAGTGAGTGAGTGAGTGAGTGAGTGAGTGAGTGAGTGAGTGAGTGAGTGAGTGAGTGAGTGAGTGAGTGAGTGCCTGCGTGGGGTGCAGTGCAAAGCAGGAGTGAGGAATAGAATATTTCCCACAATCCAAAAAAGGAAGGACAGAGAGAACACCTTTATGATCTTCCCCCCCACCCCCTCCAATCAATAACTTACACATTGGACAAGCTCCAAAGGTTCAGACAATTCAGCAGTCGAAGGCTCAGGAAATATTTCTCCGGAATCCACAACCAGGAACATACTGCAACAAGCCTCGTCAGCCGACTCATTGCATTCCTGGGATTGGGTGCAGCTGGGCTGCTCGGGCTCCAGCTGGACGTCAGAGGTGCTGCTGGACGAACCATTGTCATTGAGCTCAGAGGTTTCCTGGAGAAGACTGTCTGACAAGCTGGCCGTCTGAAAACTGTCCTCCTGCGGGCGGGGGAATAAAATGGTTTATGCTGGTTTAACTACAACTACCTAAATGCAAAGGATGTGAATCGTTGAACACAAGCATTGTAAATAAATATGGTATTAAATTAACCCAAACAATATAAATTACTCTAAACAGTGTACAAGTGCACAGTATTCAGACCCACTCCCCCAATTTGTGGCTGAAATGCATTGAGTAAATCAGCACAATAGATGTACACATTGTATGGGATGAATAGAATAACAATAAATTAAACACAGCTACATATCTAACTCCAGCTAAAAGTGTACAGAGTACATCAAAAACCACCCAAACTACCCAACTCTCCAGTTCAATGCAAAGACTCCCCTCACCTGCTTCACGGTGACGGATGCCGGTTGTGGGAATGTTTCTGAGATCTCAGAGCTTTGTGGTACAGGTGTCTACAGTGAAAGGGAGAAACAGGATTATAAAGATATTATTTAATATTATTATTATTATAAAGATGCACCTCATTCATGTTGTTAAATTTGACACACGCAAGGTTAGCCAACTTAAAAAGCTACGGTTCATCAGTTTCCCACCTGGTGAGAATCAATCTTTCACCACAAGTAAAGGGCAATGCGCTTATTTTTGCCGTTGTATGTACCTTGCACAAATGTTTTTTCACTGAAAAATCTGCCTGTATCGGAAAGATGGGCTAAAAAGTCCTGTGCAACCTGACAACCAACGTCACAAACAGTTTTAATTTGCCATTGGCACCCCATTGCACCAGGTAATACCTGGTTCCACTAAATTAATGAAAAATACCTCAGTCATTGTTGTCCGAAAACACTGGATTTCCCCATCATCTGAATGAGCGATGACAAACATGGGAATACTCTGGCCGGACTCTTGCAAGTAATCCTCCATCTCCACCTTCCTTTTCATTGTTGAGTTCCAATGGTTCTTTACCGCATTGTCTGTCCTGTGATTAAAAACATTTGTAATTGTCCACTAAGATTCGAACATTACTGCAGTAAATTGGTCAGTCGCTTCATGCCTCTCTGTGTGAGTTGCTGTGCGCAAACTGTTCATTGTTTCTGATAACAAATAGTCAATACACTTGACAGCAAATACCTGTGAAGTGCTTTGGGATGTCAACTCCATGCCCCTCAATCACTTGACTCTCTGCTTATACTGTGAAATCCATTTGTTTAAAGTTCTGCAGTAGAACTGCCAGTTATTCACATTCCAACTAACTCCGTGTCTCCGTCAGACTTAGCTATGTAAGTGGACACGGGGGCGAGGTGGTGGGGTGGAGAAATCAATGTGAAGTTGCAGCAAACGCACAAAGTTACAAATGATGGGTATTAGTCATTCTGGTGGACACCATCTGCTTACACCAAGTTACAAACCCGGTGAGATAGCAGCAGTCAAACCTCATGAAGATAAATGGCTTACTGACCTGCCGGGTAGCAGTTTTGCAATCTCTGCCCAGCGATTCCCAAGGACCTTGTGTGCTTCGTAAATAATCCTGTCCTCGTCTTCTGTCCAGTGTGACTTTTTCACCTCGGGATTGAGGTGATTGTGCCACCGTTCACGGCACTGTTTTCCAAGTCTTCCCTTGAGTTGTCTGGCAATCAACGACCAACGTTTGGGCCCATATTTCTGGACCAGTTCAATTACCTGAAAGACGAGGAGTCAAAGGGGGCAGGTTATTCACTCGTTTCCTTTCATTGCATTAGATAACCTAACCACTCTGTTCACTTCTGGTTTTCTCCCTTGATTGCCCCGCACATACCATAACTCTAATCGGAGGTAACCCTCGTCCTGCTACAACTAACCATGGGATCATCTGACCAAGCCAGTGGTGCTCCACAGCCAGCCACCACTACACACCAGCAAATCAACAATACCTCATTACCGACTGACCCATACTAGAACAAGCTACAATACAGTATCATGGAAAGCATCACAATGATCGTCTTGTACCCTGTATTACCTTCTGGTCTTCTTCTTTTGTCCACGGACCTTTCACAAGTTCTGGATTGAGAACCTTTAGCCACCGATGTTGGCACTGACCATCAGTTCGGTTCTGCAACAATTAAAACATTTTTCAAACGGGAAAAGCAACCAGAATTTCAGGGTGGCAAAATCCAGCAAAGAGCCTGACAACAGGAGTTATGTTCTTCAAACAGAAACAGTTGATGACTAAACAATGAAAAACGCAAACGTGTATTTTTGGCCGAACTCATTCTCTCTTCGTACAAAGTAAAAATAATTAAACATTATTATTCCTTGCCGATTGAGGAAGAAACAAGGAAGTCAATAGAAAATCTACTGATCAATAACATGAACAGATGAGTGGGTATGGGGATTAGGGCAAATATATATTTTTAAGAATCATTCAAAATTAAGCTAAACCACAGCAGTTTGAATAGCCTTCAGTGGGAAATGCAAACACTTAATAATTGAATAAATTGCTCAAATTCTTGCAGATCCAATGCTTCAATAGAAAACGTCGCAAGCAGAATGTTTTTGTTTAAAAAATAATATTGTGCTGATGTGAGCTCAGAAAGAAACACTTCTTCAACTTTGTGACAACAATTTTGAGGCCATCCGCTGCTCTCCACAACACCCTCAACCACACCCTCAAAGAGTGACTTCACCAATGCGCCATATCCAGCCTTGTTGACCCGAAGGCAGAATTGTCAACTTTGTACAGAATGCTTGGTAGGGTTTCGTTGGGAAACCAAACCTCCTGCAAATGAAGCAACACTAACTGACCTGACTCCACACCAGCAGAGGCCAAGGATTGTCCACCCCGTCACCTGGCCTGGATTTTGGACCAAGTTCCACCCCTGAAACACCCACTGATCTAACCAACGGAAATGTTTCTACAATAATCAGTTGGGAACTTTTAAACCTTCTCATTAGGAAATGGGAGTCCAAGGACCAAAAGGTCTCAAGAGTGCTTCAATTACAAGATCCCAACCTCTGGCTTTTGGCAAGTGGGTTGGTTAGTAACGGCAAGGTTTTTACACTGAGTAATTGAATAGTTAAGTCCTCCTTCCCAACAGCACAGAAGAAAACATGGACAGGGAAGGTTTATGATTCTTGTATCTATACCAACAACCTTCCAGCACCACATTAAATAACGTGCAGGTGGTCTACCAGGTTAACTTTGCTTATGATGAACTGGATGAGGGACGACCTACAAGTCACAGCTGCAAATAATACTTACTGAGAAATGAAATGACTTGCTATAAGTTTCCAATCATTTTTGTCATATTGCTTTACCAACTTCTTCAACCTTTCATCCTACACAAAAGTAAAACATTTAACATAAACCCCTGTATAGTATGTCACCGATATTTCTGTTGCAGACATAGTGCCTCTTGCAACCTCCATAAGCAGATGACTAAATCACTGAAGATTATCCATTAAAGTAAAATGGAAGTAAAATTTCAAGAAGTTGAACAGAAATTTGAAAACGTCTCCCTTTTGATAAGTTAATTCGGGTAACTAAAACACATAAAATGATCTATTACCCCAAAATGTAAAATACTAAGCTACTAACGAGTGCCTGACTTTGAGTATAAACAATTGTATGGAATTTTGCAATGGGCAAAACAGACAATGTATTTTTCAAAACTGCTATGGTTCTAACACTTATTGCATTGTACTCAGCTTTCTTTTACGGTAAGGCTGATCTATTTTCATACTTTCTTTAGTAACATGTTCTTTCTTTAGCATGTGGTGGCTGTAAGATTAGCAGTGAATTAAGGAAGAATTGAAGACATCAGCACATAATCTTTGTGGAAACGGATTGTGAGAAAGCAGTCACACATGATTTGTTGTGCACAATTCCCTAGTAAAGCACAGATAAAGAACGTGCAATACCATCAGAGAAATTCCAATACAAGTTCAAAATAGACCATAGTTGATGTCACTGATGTAGTGCTATATATGGTCAGGCTGATGTCCAGATTTGAAGAGCAATTGGTCTACTTGTAATTTCCCTATTAATTAGAAGATACAATGGAGTTATTGTGCTCTATACACAGAATTCATGTCAGACAAAGCTATTGTTCGTATTTCAGTGTCCCACTACCATGACAGGAAGCTGCAGGATTTAGGAGGAACAGTAAGAGGCTCAATTTCCAAAAAAAATTAGAACAATGTCTCTCTCGTCCTCTCCAAACAAACGTTTTCCAACTTTTTTGAGAGAAAATCTATACAGGTTGTATTCATAAAATCACAGAATCGTACAGCACAAAAAGAGGCCATTCAGCCCATCGAGTCTGTGCGGCTCTTTGAATGGAGCAATTAATGTCAATCCCACTCCCCAGCCCTTTCCCCATAACCTGCAAACCCGTCCTCCTCAAATACCCGTCCACTGCGTTTTTAAAAGTAGTTATCGAACAAATAGTAGTTATTGTGGACAAATCAACTCTATGGTTAAAAAGGAAAGATCCATGGGACAAAGTAAGAAAGCATGCTTTAGTCTCTTTAATAGTCGAATGGATACTACGTATAATTTGCATTTCTCTCATAAACTGAAATCAAGCGGTGAGCTGCTCTGTTAGGGTTTAACTTAAATTTCGAATGTTGGCACAATCAAAACCAGGCAGTTGTGTGATGCCAAAGATTAAAGCAATTTAGATTTCAGCAGGCTTCTTTAAGCCCTTGGCAAGTTATTTCTTAACCGGCAATAAATCAATTATTTCTATTTGCTGAACAAGTACCTCTTCGGGCATCCACTTCATTTTATACAGCTTGCTGGCATCTCTGGAATCCGAACCATCGCAGTCCATATCAATCAAGAATTCATCCGATTCCTCCCTACAAAATAAAGCATTGTTATCTTTTGCGACAAGCAGGTATCCATCATATAAGACCACAGATCATTTCATTTATAAAATGGCAAAAAGATACCAATCAGATAGGCCAGTATAATTAGTGTAGCTTAGGGTTAGTATATCCTTAAGTCTCCAGTGACCAGTAAACTGTAAGAAAGGTCAAAAAGTAGGTTTTCAGGAGACTTTTAAAGACAGACAGAGAGATGACATTAGAAACGTCCATCTCTCAGTCAGTACAGAAATCTTTGCTGTAATACCGTTTATACTGGTTTACAAATGCAGGGTAACCCAAGGATCCATCCTTAGTCCCTTCTTTCTTATTTACACGCTCTCTCTCAGCGATGTCATCTGCAGACATGGGGTAAACTCCCACCTTTATGAGGATGGCACACAGATCTACTTCTACTCTTCCGGCTGTGACTCCAGGTCCCTGGAATTCTGTCAGCTTGTTTGTCAGACATCAAGGCCTGGATGAGCGCAAACTTACTGTACCGAGTGTCGTACTTCTCATCTCCCATCAACATCTTCTCTTCTACAGCTCTGACCTCCTCAACCTCCCCGGCCTGTCCCCAAGACTCACCGAACCGAGTTCGTAACCTAGTCGTTGGTTTTGATCACCAGCTATCCGACCTTCTCCCATATCGGGTCAAGTTCTACCACTGTTAAGACCCCCCCGAGACCCTACCCCGATAAGGGCCGCTATATAAATACAACTTGGGATTGTCTTAAGTATTGGAAAATATTGTATCCTGAAGAGCGGTTACATTGACTGCAATTAAACATGAACGTCCTTTGGATGAGACCTTAAACCGAGGTCCCGTCTGCCTGTTCTGGTAGATGTTAAAGATCTCTCTGCGCTAATTAAAAACAAAAGCGAGTTTCTCTCTCTCTCTCTCCCGGTGTCCCGTCCCCCACAAGTACAATTGATCGCTCGCTCCATGACTGTGTGTGGGGACGTCGCTGTGCACAAATTGGCTGCCGCGTTTCTCCCACAAAATACAGTCACTACACTTTACAGTATATCCTGTGAAGCGCTTTGAGGCGTCTCGACGACGTGATCAGACGTCGGGTCAAATACAAGGATTATTATTTTATGCAAAAATGAAAAAGAAAAACACAAAATTTCTCTCAAACACAGAAATGATTCACTCACCAGTGAGTCGGTGTCTCCAGGGTGGGGGGGGGGAGGGGGGAGAGCTCCAGGGTGGGGGAGGGGAGGGGAGAGAGCTCCAGGGTGGGGGTAGGGAGGTCCAGGGTGGGGGTGGGGGGTCCAGGGTGGGGGAGGGGAGGGGAGAGAACTCCAGGGTGGGAGTAGGGAGGTCCAGGGTGGGAGTAGGGAGGTCCAGGGTGGGAGTAGGGAGGTCCAGGGTGGGGGAGGGGGGGTCCAGGGTGGGGGAGGGGGGGTCCAGGGTGGGGAGGGGAGGTCCAGGGTGGGGGAGGGAGGGAGACAACTCCAGGGTGGGAGTAGGGAGGTCCAGGGTGGGGGGGTCCAGGGTGGGGGTGTCCAGGGTGGGGGTGTCCAGGGTGAGGGGGTCCAGGGTGGGGGCTGCGGCCTGGCAGCTGTTTACAAGCCCGGACTCTGGTCAGGCGAGTGGCCGGGGGGGGGGGGGGGGTCCCGTCCTCCTCTGTGTCTCCGAGCAGCAGCGGCAGCGGCAGCTGTGTGTTACACCATTTCCTCCTCTCTCCCCCTCTCTCTCTCCCCCTCTCTCCCCCCTCTCTCTATCTCCTTCCCTCTCTCTCTCCCCCTCTCCCCTCTCTCCCCCCCTCTCTCCCCCTCTCTCCCTCTCTCCCCCTCTCTCTCTCCTCTCTCCCCCTCTCTCTATCTCCTTCCCTCTCTCTCTCCCCCTCTCCCTCTCCCCCTCTCTCTCTCCCCTCTCCCTCTCCCCTCTCACTCTCCCCTCTCTCTCTCCCTCTCTCCCCCTCTCTCTATCTCCTTCCCTCTCTCTCTCCCCCTCTCCCTCTCCCCCTCTCTCTCTCCCCCTCTCCCTCTCCCCCTCTCTCTCTCCCCTCTCCCTCTCCCCCTCTCTCTCTCCCCTCTCCCTCTCCCCCTCTCTCTCTCCCTCTCTCCCTCTCCCCCTCTCTCTCCCCCTCTCCTCTCCCCCTCTTCTCCCCCTCTCTCTCCCCCTCTCTATCTCTCTCCCCTCTCCCCTCCCTCTCTCTCCCCCTCTCTCTCTCTCCCTCTCCCTCTCCCCCTCTCTCTCTCTCCCTCTCTCCCTCCTTATTTTCTGAAAAACCCGCCAAATCCGCGCCCTCTGGTGCCATTGGCGGCGGCGCATGCGCTGTTGTTGCTGCTGCGCAGTGGGCGGTTTCGCGCCCAATTGGGCGGTTTTTGTTTTTGTTCCTTTAAAAACAATACCAACAAAATGTCTTTTTCTTGTGGTTTATTTTCCTCTTTGAAAACCTTTCCTTTACGCGGTGTCAAACCACTGACCGACATACAGTGTCTCCGCAACTGCCAACACACAGGGCATTGGGGCTATTTTTGGGGCTATTTTTTGGGGCTCGTGTTTGTTGGGACTTTGGCTCATAACAATGTACTTTAATCTCTGGTATTTCCCCCCTCCGCTCCCCCCCCCGGGCTCTCCCCCCCCCCGGGCTCTCATCCATTCCCGGGGCTCTCGGCTGCAAATCAGCCGTTTTCTAGGTCGGAAGATGTTTTGAGGGGAGGGGGTGAGGTGGAGGGGGGTGAGAGGGGGGAGGGGGTGAGGTGGGGGGGGTGAGAGGGGGGGAGGGGTGAGGTGGAGGGGGGAGAGGGGGAGGTGGAGGGGGGGGAGGGGGTGAGAGGGGGGAGGTGGAGGGGGGGGGGGGGGAGGGGGTGAGGTGGAGGGGGGGGGGGGGGAGGGGTGAGGTGGAGGGGGGGGGGGGGGGGGAGGGGGTGAGAGGGGGAGGTGGAGGGGGGGGGAGGGGGGGTGAGAGGGGGGAGGGGGGAGGTGGAGGGGGGGGGGGGAGGGGGTGAGGTGGAGGGGGGGGGAGGGGTGAGGTGGAGGGGGGGGGGGAGGGGTGAGGTGGAGGGGGTGAGAGGGGGAGGTGGAGGGGAGGGGTGAGGGGGGTCTCCACCCCAACACATTGACAATTCCAGTCCTGATGTGGATGTTGCAAACGACCCTTTCTTTAGAATTGAGCCATTTATCGCCCAAAACAACAACAACAACAACATCTACTGAACTACTGAGTGGACAACTCTATAAGATACCATTTGAGTCCGTGAGTGACGGTTTACAGTGAGTGATTTCTGGCACCAAAACCGAACCCGAAGGACTTCCCTTATCTTCCTGTTAGAAATCCATCAACTTCAACCCATTCTGGTTTTGGAGCCCATTTGCCTTTCCCTCTCGGGGGGAGAGGGGGACTTTGAACATCTGTTGATTTATTTGACAGCTTTCAAGAACTTTCTGGTTAGTGCTGAGGTCACACAGTGACATTGACACAGTTGAGTTGTGTGTCTGAAGGAGTACATTATATATGTATTTTGAGGATAAAACAAGTGGAGCCTTCAGTCTGTGGGAATCTGATTGACATTGTTACTTTCACACCATTGATTGGAATTACTAATCAACTCGTGTTAATTGGTTCCGGGATTCAAATGAATTGCACCTGAAGGCAATAAGTGCAGCGGTGGAGAAGTGACTGCACTTGAAATGCAATGAAAGTCACCCGAAGAGGAGAGAAGAGGAGGTTTTTAGGCGGTGGGAACCGTTACGATGGAGACCGAATGGAAGCTGCGCTTTTCCAGTCTGAGTTCCACATTAGATACAGGTTTTGCCATCAGCTCCTCGAGTCTCTCAGCTTCTGACCAACAGGACGTGACCCTGTCCCTCAACTGTGAAAGCCAACTCTGCCCAAACGAGGAGAGCGACCCCAGTCCCCAGCAGAGGGGGGGAGCCCCACCCGGGGGTGCTGGAGGCTCCCCGAGAGTCGACGGTACGAGCGATGGGCAACTTTGCAAAACCAACCTCTTAGCTCCTCCATCACCTCGACTTGAAAGCCTCCCGGTGTTTAATGCGGATCCTCTACACTGGCGAGGGAATGGCTGTGGCTCTATGTGTGTCTCTCCACCGAGATCTCCCCCTGTCCCACCCACTGCAGAGACACTGAGCACTGAAGCTCGGGGACCTTCCCCCGGGGCCTCCAATTGCTTCGCTGTGGATCTGTTGGATAACTTGTGCTCCACCCCGCTCTCTGGTCTGAAGAATTTGCAAGTGCATTGGTATAAACCAACTGAGATCTCCGCCATCGCCCACCAGTCCATAGAAGAAGCCACTGACCACTCGGGGGTCCTGAAGATTGCTTCTGCTTTGGAGGACACGTCGGACATTCAACCTCATCATGTTGAACCTGCGCTGGTGCAAGAACCGAAGGGTTGATGCCTTCTTGACCTGCCTCACTCCCTCTTGCAATTCTCTAGTCTCTTTGCCAACTTGATGCGTTTCTGGTCGGTCAGAATGAAACTGGAGCAATCTGGTGACTGACTTCAATGTTCACTTTGTTCCCAACAATTTCCATCTATTCAGGATCCTGCTTTACCTCGTCTGGACCATAAACTTACAAAGTGTCTGGAGGGAATTAAAATAGGCACATGGGACACAGTGTGGGTATAATCCTGCTTCGTGACTACTGAACTTCAGTTCCTGTGGTGTAATTGATCACTGATTTCAAAGGTAATAATTGTGTGGGGGTGTGTATGTGTGTGGGGTAAATAAAAGTATTGCTTCAATTACTTAAATCTATTGTCTATTTAGCACTTTCTCAAGTAAATTAACTGCATTCAAAAGCTGCCTCTAAAGCACTGAACGGAAATTTAATACCATAAGACATAGGAGTAGGCCATTCGGCCCCTCGAACCTGCCCCGTCATTTAATAAGATCATGGCTGATCTTCTAACCTAATTCCATTTACCAGCCCTATCCCCAGTATCCCTCAATCCTTTAGAAATCTATCAACCTCAGTCTTGAATATGTTCAAGGACTGAGTATCCACAGCCTCTGGGGGAGAGAATTCCACAAATTCACTACCCTCTGAGTGAAGAAGTTTCAACTCAGTTCGAAAAGGCTGACCCTTAATCTTGAGATGTGACCCCTAGTTTTAAATTCTCCAACCAGGGGAAACAGTCTTACGGCATCTACCCTGTCAAGACCCTCAAGATTTCTATAAGATCACCTCTAATTCTTCTATATTCCAGAGAATATAGGCCTAGTTTACTCAACCTATCATAGGTCAATCCCCTCATCACAGGTACCAACGTAGTGAATCTGCGCTGCACCCTCTAAGGTGAGTATGTCCTATCTTAAATGAAACCAAAACTGCACACAATATTCCAGGTGCGATCTCGCCAAGGCTATACAACTGCAGCAAGAGTTCTCTACTCTTGTACTCTTAACCCTTTTTCCACAAACTCGAACATGCCATTATCCTTCCTAGTTGCTTGCTGTATCTGCATAATAACTTTTTGTGACGTGTACAAGGAAACCCAAATCTCTCTGAACAGTAACACTATCTAGTCTCTCCCCCTCTAGAAAATTATCTGCTTTTCTATTTTTACTACCTAGGTGAATAACTTCACACTTCCCCACACTATATTCCATCTGCCACCTTCTTGCCCACTCACCTCGCCTATCTATTTCCCTTTGCATTCTTCTTGTCATCCTCATAGGTTACTCTCCCATCTAGCTTTGTATCATCCACAAATTTAGATATGTTAAGTTCTATTTCCTCATCTAAATCATTGATATAGTTTGTAAATAATTGAGGCCCAAACACTGATTCTTGTGGCCTCCACTAGTCACATCTTGCCAATCTGAGAAGGACCTGTTTATCCCTACTCTGTTTTCTTCCTGTTAGCCACTCTCCAATCCATGCTAATATATTAACTTTAATTCCATGGGCTCTAATCTTATACAACAGCCTTTTATGTGGCACCTTGTTGAATGCCTTCTAGGAATCCAAATACACCATATCTACTGCTTCCCCCTATCTATTCTGCTAGTTACATCCTCAAAAAACTCTAAAAAAAAATTGTGAAACATGATTTCCCTTTCATAAAGCCATGTTGACTCTGCCCAATCATGTTATGATTTTCTAAGTGCCCCATGACAACGTCCCTAATTAAGGACTCTAGAATTTTCCCTACCACCGATGTCAGACTAACTGGTCTATAGTTCACCCATTTTTTGTCTCCCACCCTTCTTAAATAGCAAGGTGTTAAAATCTTGAACTTGAACTAACCTTATGAAAGCACACCCGAAATATTAACATGCTGTGAATTTTGCACATTTGCTGCTTATTTTGCCAACTTCCGATTACTGGCAGCCTCTATAGAGACGAGCTTCTCGTGGGAGCCACATCTTGTGGGGAAAACCTGAAACTGAGAATTCTCAACTCTTATCTTAATCCATCATTTTCACTCTAGGTCCTGAAGGATTATTGATGGGGGAGGTGACACGATACACACACTATGGTCATTACACTATTACTCGCATATCTTTGTTTGCATTTATTGTCAGCATACAAATATTTTGAAAGGGTAATTTTAAAACTATTTACAACCTGGAGATACAAATATAATTGAATGGAAATAAATATGAACAAACATTCAATGCAGCATAAATGAGAAAAGATTATCATCTGAAGATAAAGTATCATTTTTTTTCACTCTTTACAAATCAAATTATGCAGGTGGGCTATAACTTTTTTTTCAAGTGACCTAAATTTAACTGCAGATTAGGAACATTATGTATTTACATGGACATTAATGGGGTTGTTTTACAAATGGGTGGATGACCATAATCTTAAATGTAACACACCATAGTGTAAAATGCTTTGAAGCTTCATACAGAGAAATGATTAAATAACTTTGAATACAAAAATATACATTTTTTTGAATAAGGATGCTAATCTTTAGCAAATGACAAACTGCGGAAGAAGTAAGTTAATGCTTCTGGAGTCTCCATCATTGGACATGCTCTGCTGAATATCAGAGGCAAATATTTGTGAGCAGGAAGGGTGGAAAGATGTCAGTTTCGTTTTAAGTAAAGAAACTTTACTTTTAAACATCAGCCTCCCAAAGTTGTTGACCTGGAGAACAGTTACCATAACAATATTTGAAGATCACTTCCGTCAACAAACTCTGAGATTAAATGCCCCCGAGTGCAGATGTTCGGGGTTCTGCTGAAGGTAAGTAAGACTTGGGTTCAGTTGTTGTGAAAAGTAGTGATTCCACTCTCTGGTGTGGTAAGATCATGATCCTGTAAAGAAACAAAAAAAAGGACTGGACAATGCTTATTGGAACACATCAATTTTAACAGAAACACCGTAATTAGAGGGTTCATTGTATTTTTTTATAATGGCTGATTGCAAGACCTAATCTCGAAAGTTAAATATTCTTTCACATGTAACTCTCCAGCTTCCTTACTGAAAATCTATTTAATTTTACCTGGTTGAGCTTCTTGAACTCTACCACTTGGAAAAAGACGTGCTCTAAAATGTGTTTTGCGTCTCGATCATCCTGTGGGAGTTTACTCGAGATACCAAGAATATCGCCACACTTTCGAACGTAGAATTCAAGATCATCGTCGGAGCCTAAAAACAGAACACACAAAAATACCAGTTTGTATTCTTGTTTAGTATCTAACTCCTTCACTATACACAACTACTAGTGGAATTCACAACCAACCAGAAGAATTCCACTACAAATTAGGAAATGTGACTCAAAAACTGGCCATTTAAATATTGATGCAGTCAATGGGAGAAATACTGTCTCACCCACCTTCCTCCAAAAGAAAAGTTTAAATAGAAGTTGAAAATCAAGTGCTTCTAGTTCCTTGCCTAAGTGGCCAGTGTGTGTAGGCTATCCTGGTTCTAGAGGACAAACTTGACGTCCAAACCAACATTTAAAACACACAAGCGGACACAATTAAGAATGGGAAACCTAGCAGTCTTTTCCCTTAATTTACACAATATTGATCAGCAAATGTGATGTGGCATAAGTGACATGCTTCAACAAAGTAATTGCCTAAAAATAAAGAAACAAATGACAGAACTGTAATATTGTTTGCTTACATTTATTTGTCAGCTGAGCAAGTCTAACTTTCTCAGATGAAAACGTTTCATCCAGATCAAAGAGATCCAAGGTTGGTGCTGGCAACTCTCGAAAGGAAGGAGGGAAAACCTGTCAACGACAAACAATGGACCCATTTTCATCTGGGATTATTTTCAATGTAATACGCTCCAATGATGCTAAAGCTAAGCTTTACTAATTTCTCTTATTTTTAAACTACCAAGGGAACACTGCACCACAAATGAAGCTAATTTATATGTGATATTTTCACACGTTCCGGTGGATGGTTCTGTTGATCTGTACTTACCGCTGGTTGCAATGTGGGAAGTGGTGTTTCAAACTGGGGTTGTATCAGTTGGAGTGATTCATGTTTCACATTTAGCTGCTCATACGCACTGTAGACCAAAACAATGAAAATCCAATAAGTTTGCAAGTAACATGACTCTCGCAGACATTGAAGATTTTACAAATGAAAGTGAGCCATCCATCAGACTGCATTTGAAATGATCTATGATCCACATTTCAACAAGACATTTATTGTCCTCTGGTTTGCAAAATCAATTGGATTCAGACAAATTTTTAATTCTCAGGGTAGGAAGGGTTAGTAAGTTCACATGCCATCTAAAATTAACTTTACCTACATTTGTATTTTTTTCTTAATAAAGCATATTTTCAAGTTTATTTTATTCCAAATTGAAGAATAAATTCCCCTTGAGCTGGAATGTTAAGTATCTTAATTTATCATACAAATTTGGCATATTATTCAAAAGTTAGTCAGTTTTAGTTAAATTAGTAGTAATTCTAACTTAGACTGAAATAGCTGTTTTTGGATTTACGCTGCCACGGACAATGTTATCAGCAGACAAACATCATTCCTGGTCTCTGAGATTACATTAAATTATCATTGAGATAAGATTGTAAGGATGGAGCCTCGGCTAAATTGTCCTCCAGTTTTCTCTTCCCTCTCTATGGCATCTCTTCCTGTTGGCTCAGATCAGATTGATAACAAATCATATAGGAAATGATGGGTATATGAACATGCTTCCTCTGGTGTAACACAGCAAAAAAAAACAATCAACAAATTGGGGTGCTAGCCATTGTTATAAAAATTACTCTTTCCGACGTGAAGGGTGCTATAAAGTGTAATTTGTTGTTGTTTTACTCAAATCTTCAAATTCAGATACAAATGGATTGATTGTTGTACTAAGCAGCTGTTGTTCTATATTTTGCCCACAAATATAGTCAATTCACTTTACAGTTTATTCTGTGAAGCGCTTTGAGACGTCTAGAAGACGTGAAAAGTGCTATATCAAATGCAAGTATTATTATTATATGATACTAACTCAATAACTTTTGGAAGAGCTGTTGTATCCAACTTAAAGACCGCCATATCGAACAGAGTGGTAAAATCTCGTGGATTTTCATCCCCTTCTTGCAAACACACCCTCACTCTTTCAGACAATTTAGCTGTGTCCGGCAGCATGGTGTAATCTGAAATCTTCAAAAAATAAAGGGTGAGTTTTTCATCAACAGTTTGAATAGTTAAACAAGGTAAGATTTTTATACACAGAGTATCAATTGTCAGTGTTTATTAATAATGTCTCATCTGGGTATATCCAGATGTAAACAACTCCTTTGTTTTCTACCATTTTGGAAAATTACTGAGTTAACAAAGTTAACATTTTTTGAGGACAAAGACAGTTTCAACATCACTTCCACCAAAGAGACAAAGCACACAGTTTACCTCTGGATCTTCTGCATCTATTTGGTTCAACTGGATTTCGTTTGTAGTGAGCCACTGAAAAACAACTTCCTGAAGCAAAAGGAAATATTAGATCAGCCACAAAATTTCAGAAGTTATCTCTGAAATCCAAATGCCATCAGGAATTTATTTTGCATTTATATCATCAGCCAATAAGAATAATTTACAGTTTGCCGATATACAAAAACACAAACTTGTTAGCCCCCTTCCCCACCCATATGACATACTTTGTGAAATCATTGCACATTTGGTTGGTTGCATGGTACGGTACATGTGTCTGTTAACTGCAAAACTGTGCGTATGTTCTCTAAATGCAAGAAAAATAATATGGCAAGGCAGCCAAGAAGAGGTGTGTGAATGGTGACCAGAGTTTGGTGAAGACAAGCCCTCATAAACCCACCTAACTCTCTAAGCCCCAAACAGGGAATAATTGCCAACATAGTTTTAGTGTCTAACACCATATCATTGAGTGTTTTTTCTTGACATTTACCCCCCCCAAAAAAAAACTTACCATGATTTTGCTATTTTCTTCTTTGTCCAAGTACTGATCACTGATCATGTGACAAGAGCCCAGCACAGCCAACTTCCCACCTTTGTTCTGTTCAGAGAAACGTTATACATTTTAATACGAGGCAATATCGCCTATGACGCAGCCCAGTCCAACTGAGCGACACTATGTTTGGGTTTGGAGTCAAGCGCTTAACATGTGTCTGCAGTGACAAGAGTAACATTGGAAGGAAACACTATATTTCAGTCTTTGAAAACCATGTTTCATTCTAATCTGTGGAAGAAGCTCACACCATTGTCTCTGCCTCTTCCATAACCCTGAAGAGGAGGATCACATTCAATAAGAGGCATGTACTGAATGACGTATTACATTGATGTTAGTGATACTCCAATGTCACATTAACTGACATCCTGGAAAGTTGTACAATTTACTTTCACTGAATTAAAACTGCAAGTTTCTTATTCCATATTTTTTTCAAACAATACCTTGGCCTGGTAGAATGCCAGAATAGGTCTGTTGAGAGGAAAACACACAGAGCCGGTCGACAACACTGCAACAGCTGGCTTCATTACACTCAGTGTGGCACCAAACGGATAAACAAATGTCAGGGCTCTAAAGGATGTAATTAACAGTATTACCAATAATACAGGGATAACCATCTTGCAACTACACATGGTTTCATCACCAAATAATCTTTATGTTGAAACAGAAGTCTACCACTCGAGGACAACGTAAAAGAGGGTCAATATACCGAGTAAGACGACTGCGTATCACAGAATCAATCACAGGGCAAATCAAGGCATGTGATACAATAATGATAATACTTGTATTTTGATGACTTAATCCTCATTTTCTGCGCCAAAATGCCTCTTTGCAATTTTTCTACAAAAGGACTTAAAATATGCATTCAAAGCAGTAAAAAAAAAACCAGCATACAGAGGAAGCACAAAATAGAGAAATGGATCACGTAATTCTATTTTATTAAATTTGCAAAAAACCTACTGTAAGTTGTTTCCATTATTGTCTTCATCCATCACTCCAGGCACAGCTTTGCCAGCAGCTCGACTGATTTCTCTGTGAACATCAATTTGTTTTCTGTTACATGGTTTTAAGTGCAGGATTTTCACAGTAAACTCTAATACATTACATTATGTATATGATTAATAGGATTAAGATCAAATCATATTTATCCGTTTTACACTCAGCTTTACAGAAAAAAATTAGAAAGCAGAAAAATTCGCATTTGCTTCTCATTCTCAAATAAGAACATACCTTAAACCTGCTCTCTGGCATGAAGGAGAGCAAGATAAATATGGATTTCCCCCAATAATAAGCATGTTGTCAACCCTTCTCAAAGGAATTTGTCACCTACTGTGTTTGGAAGGAATTTATATGTCATGGATCGGCCACTAGAGAGCACGCACTCATCAGTTCCTTATTGATGTCGGGAAAGTTATTAAACTGTAAGGATTTTTTTTTAAAATAACCTCCACAAATCTTTGTGCTGCCATAAACAAACACTTGGTGAACAGGCACAATATTGGTGAAAGGGGCTATACAAATGTAAACTTTTTGTTGTTGTTGACGATCCACAAAATTATTAAACCAGCAAACTGTACCTTTTGAGTTTACCAAGCAAGAAGTCACTGGATTATTTGCTTCTTGCACCCATTCCCCAAAATGCAATTAATGGAAAGAGTAGCCTAGCAACCAAATGATAATTATGTTTACCTACTTTGCAAACATCACTAGAGCCAACATGTAATACTGAGATAATTAAAGGGTAAAGAAGATTTACCTGTTCAAAACGCCATTAGATATTAGTGCTTCTTTGGGATGGAAATATTTGTAGTACACATTTCTCACAACAGCGTCTTAAAAACAAAAATTAAATTATGGGTTAAATCCTTGTGCGGAAACTGAGTTCAAATGAAAAAAAAGCTGAAGAATGAAAGTTACAATGCTCACCATTGTTTACCATAATTCCATATTCTTCCAACAAAAAGTTTATGTTTGTGTCGTATTTAGATTCTCCACCTTCCCCCAGCATCACCAAGATATCGCCTCCATCTTCTACATACTTTTTCAATACTTCAAACTGATGAAAAATAATGCAATCGCAAATTCTGGGTAAAATAATTTCACTGCTATGTTGCATAAAACCATACCGATTTTCATTTTGTTTTCCAACATATTCAGTTGGAGGTACAATCAACACTTATAGAGATGTGAAACTCAATGTGGGCAACATTAGCAATCTTTTAATGACAGAGTCTGCTGTAACAATTAACTGCCATTTCAAACAAAGTCCTCAGCAAGGTTTACTTTGTGAAGCCAAAGATACAATTACTTGCAGATAAAATCTAAACTCTGGTGTATTGGTTGGCTGACACTTTGTGTCTTATGCAACAGATAATAAGAAATGCATATTTTCTGAGTTGCATCTATATGGTATTTTATCAGAAATTGTTTCCACACATTTGCAAAATTTTAAAGAGATTTTATTTTTCAATATGGTCTTATAAGGAATAATAAATATTCCTTATATATACTATATATTTTTATAAATTGCATGAACCACTAAAGTAACTAATTAACTGAAGTTCATTTATAAAACCTCCATTTATATATTTTAATACATCAACTCACTTCAGCAGCTGTGAATTTCTCTCTGGGTCCTGCTGAAATCCACAATTTCACACCAATCAGTTTTTCTTCTGTGATTTCATCCTTGAAACTGTCATAAACACAAAACGATAGTAGGCTCAAAACCATTAAGACTAACCTTCACATCCAGAATACAACTCTCACTAAGTGAATGTAAAACAAAATGATTGCTCACTGATTCTTATATAGTGATCTGAGTGTTACTCTGGGTTATTTTGAAACTACAGCCAGAGACAATATGCACAAGAAGTTGTTTTCATTGAAGTCACGATACCAAACTCGAATGTATTTTATGACATACGTATCTCTTAGAGCATGAAATGTGTGCTTATATTTCAAAACATCTTATCCAATCATTAAAAATCCAGTCAGCATATTCTCTGTACTTCAGTCCCTCAACAGCATAAGTGAGCAGACAACAACAACAAAATTATATTTGAACATCGCCTTTCACATCAGGAGGATGGAATGTGTTAGGAGTTAGATGCCCTCTAGAAATTTCCATATCCAATTAGGATAAAATAAATCATCCACCAGGGAGTACGCTCTGTAGAAACAGTGCTCTCTCAAGTTGAAGGCTGCAGAAAAGTATAATCTTATAACCTTATATAAGCCTTATTTGTTCAAATAAAAATATTATTGTGTCTCAAATGGCATAAAAATAGTCCACAATAATTAAGACTTTTTTTTAGCTGCTTATAAACAAATTACATTAATTACTAACTGGACATGGGGTAATTATGATTTAAAATCCAATTCCTAAAGGTAATAATACTAACATTCAGTTGGTTCTATCCTTATGGAAAAATACAAGACTAGAAAGTCCGCAATGAACAGGCAATAATCCAAATGCAACACTTGCCTTTGTATTTTCCAGTTAGCCCGAAGTTTCTTCTGTAATGACTTGTACCCACTTCCGGTATTAAAAAGTTCTTTCTTTGATGAGTTGAAAACAATAGTGTTTCGCTGCTGTTCTTTCTCCATTTTAACCTGAAAATGTTAGTTTACTCTGCTGATCATACACTTCCATATTGTAACAGTGAGTGCTGTATAACCAGACGTATCACTATCCTCAAAACATACAACTAAATCTGATAAACACCTGTATTTTACAGATATAAAGCCAATTATATCAATAGATCTGGCCACTGCTCTAATCAAGCAAAACTGTTGATAATAAACATCATGGTAAAGTATTGGTATTATTGTATCATTTTACAATGTGATAAGGATGCGTTCTCGATTCTTCCATCTACACTCTACAATAACACAGCAATGACTTGAATTGTTCCGGCATAGAAGAAGGAATCAAAAAAAAATGCACTCTTAACAAGGAACAATGTACTCTTCTATGACATTTGTGTACTGTATCCCAATAGAAAAAAATCACAAGTTAAAAGATAAACGTGAAAATTAAAAAATCTCAATATAAAAAGTATACAAGATTACATTTGTACAGCGCCTTTCACATTGAAAGGACGTCCCAAGGCGCTGGACAGAGTACAGGATTTCAGACCCGAGCTGGGGTCGGGGGAGGGGGGTGGCCGATGGCATAGTCAAAGAGGAGGGTCTTGAGGCGGGATTTGAAGGAGGCTAATTGGGGGGCGAGGTGGAGTGACTGGGGGATGGGGGTTGGGGGCTCTCACGCCAATGTGGGGCGGGTGGGTCAGGGGACGTGGAGCAGCCAGAGCCGGCTGAGCGGAGGGAGCGGACGGGTTGGTAGGGGGTTAGGAGGTTACAGAGGTGGGGGGCTTTGTATGTGAGGACCAGGATCTTGAACTGGATCCTCTGAAGGATAGGGAGCCAATGGAGTCAGGTGAGAGTGGGGGAGATGGGGGTCACGGAGTTTGGTGCGGGAGAGGACACGGGCTGCAGAGTTCTGGATTACCTGCAGCTGTGGAGGGAGGAGTTGGGAAGGCCGACACGCAGAGCGTTTGCACAGTCGAGCCTGGAGGTGATGAAAGTATGAACAAGAGTTTCAGTGGCCTGAGGGGTGAGGTAGTGGCGGAGTCGGGCGATGTTACGGAGGTGAGGGAAGGCAGAGCGGCTCATGGCTTGAATGTGGGGGAGAAAAGACAGTTGAGGGTTGAACAAGACACCCAGGTTCCTGACTGGCTGGTGAGTTGTAGTGTGCAACCATGGAAGTTGATGTTGCCAGAGCCTGAGGCGTTGACGGGAGCTAATCAGGAGGGCCTCAGTCTTGTTTACATTCAACTGTAGGAAGTTTGCTCTCATCCAGGACTTGATGTCCGACAGACAGTCTGTCAGGACAGCAGTGGAGTTGAGGGTGGAGGCAGAAAGATAGAGTTGGCTGTCATCTGCGTGGGGGGGGGAGGTGTAGGGGGGAGGTGGGAGGTGTGGGGGTGGGTATAGGGGGGTTATTTGATGATGAATTTGGTTGAAGCCACAAACGTGTGGCCAACAGTCAGTCTCTATGGTAACTGACCGAATAACCCACCAACATCGCCACGTGTACAGTCGCTGCGGGGGGAGGGAGGGGGGGAATTACTGTAACTCTCCTCAGCCACAGTCCCCCGCGGGGCCCGCGCTGCCAACAGAGAGGCCTCATTACCTGCCCACTGACCACCATCTTCCTCCCTTCACTGAGCGGGCGCCGCGCGGCATGCTGGGAGGTGTGGCAGTAACCAAGGGTCCCCGCGCGGCATGCTGGGAGGTGTGGCAGTAACCAAGGGTCCCCCGCAGCATGCTGGGAGGTGTGGCGGTAACCAAGGGTCCCCGCGCAGCATGCTGGGAGGTGTGGCGGTAACCAAGGGTCCCCCGCAGCATGCTGGGAGGTGTGGCAGTAACCAAGGGTCCCCCGCAGCATGCTGGGAGGTGTGGCAGTAACCAAGGGTCCCCCGCAGCATGCTGGGAGGTGTGGCGGTAACCAAGGCCACGCTGACGGTTGCTAAGAACGCGGTGCCCACATGGCTGACTGCAGGGTTGGGCTGAGTGAGGTGAGGATGGGCAGCACCGGGTCAGCACCGGGTTTACGGACCTGAATAGACAAGAACATTTACACAGCGCCTTTCATGGGGTGGGGGGACGTCCCGAGGCGCTGCACAGACACGGGTTTGCACCCAATCTATGGGTTGGTATCCGGAGGTGGAGGGCAGGAGGATGAGGATGGCTGAAGACAGTCGAAGAGGAAGGTCTTCACAAGGGGTGGGAGGGGGTGAGGCTGCAGTGCTCCGAGTTGGTGTTCCAGAGGGTGGGGGGGCAGCAAAGCTGAAGGCCTGACCTCCAATGGTAGGGTGGGGGCCCGGAGCAGGCCAGTGCCCGCTGAGCATGGGGAGTGGGCAGGTTGTTGAGGTTATTGTAGGCCACAGAGGTAGGGAAGAGCAAGACCGTGGAGGGCTGTAAAAGAGAGGATGAGGATCTTAAACTCGATCCTCTGGGGGATGGGGAGCCAGTGAAGCCGGTCGAGGATGTGCGTGAATGGAGAAGACTTGGTAACTTCATCATAATTAATCCACCCACCATAACTTGTTGAGTGACACCATGTGCTTGTGACCAAACATAGTCTTGACAATTACACCCCTTTAAGAAAGGACTTTCTTTCCCACCTGTAATAAAGTTCCATTTCAGCATCACAGATGTCAAGGTGCCATAGAACCGCATTTAAGACATTTGATCTACTCAGTGGTATATTATCAGCAAATTAAACTGTACATATTATCTGGCGATTGATCTCTGTTGAAATCTGAACACAAGGTCAACAACAGTACACATACAAAATTAGAAATAATCACAAACTGTGGATTAATATAATGACTGTAAGGAAGTCAAGGAGACGACATCTTCGCAACAACCACCTTCGCGATGTCCCTCGAGTCCACACATTCCGGTTCATCTTTTCACAGAAGGTAATTGATGCCTGGAATGGATTACCAGGAAAGGTGGTTGAGGCCAGGACTTTATAGCGTAACGGGAGGAGAGCTGGATGGATATTTTAGGAAGATGACATTAAATGGGCCGAAGAACCTTCTCCATCCAAACCTGTCTCATGATCTTGTGATGAGCGGGAATTAATACCTTGATAATTAATGGTTCATATTAACTTCCTGCTCAGAGTCATTTGAAGTAAGTACAGCCCACTATAATGTATGTCCTAGTCTCTGGAGCTCCATCCTGGAGTCCCTCTGCCTCACACTTTCCCTTGCCTCCTTCGAGGTCCATCTCTGACCACAACAACAACAACAAGATTTCATTTATAGAGCGCCTTTCACGTCGGGAGGACGTTCCAAGGAGCTGGACAGTTGGGTCGGGACCTGAGCAGGGGGGGAAATGGTCAGGGTGAGGGGAGGGGATGGAGTTCCAGAGCCTAGGGACTGAGAGGCTGAAGGCCCGGCCACCGATGGTAGGGCAGTTGGGGCGGGGGATGTGGAGCAGACCGGAGCCAGAGGAACGGAGGGTACGGGCGGGTAGGTAGGGGGATAGTAGGTCAGAGAGGTAGGAGGGAGCAAGGCCGTGAATGGCCTTGTAGGTGAGGCACAACTCCAGCCATCTTTCTTCCCCGCACCCCAACCCTCCCAAAACTAACCTCCAGCTCATGTGCAAACCCTCAAATGTTCAGCTCCTGGTGAAGTCAACAACAACAACAAAATTACATGTATGGAGCACCTTTCACGTTGGGAGGAGTCCTCTCGATATGAGAGACACTACATAACTGCAATTTGTTGGACATTGCTCATGTATATAGGCACATGTACAAATAAAGGCGTTATATCAAATGCAAGG